TGTGTTCCTTGGCTTATTCTGCGTTTTGTCTGATCTCCTTCCTGATCTCTTAAAGAGTCCTGTATATTAATCTTTTGTATTCTACCACTGGTAATTCCAAGAAGCTCTCTTCCTCCAGAAGATTTCTTGATTCTTTGTTTTGGGAGCTTGTTGAACCCATCATGGTCTGCCTCTTTATGTGATTTGATATTGAGTGTTGTCTCCGAGCCATCAATAAGTTATTATATTTATTTATTGTATGTTTGCTTTCTGTGTCGTAACTTCTTGTTTTGTTTCTTTTGTATGCCCAAATAGACTGCTCTTGTGAGCTAGTTTGATTATTGGTGGCTTTGAAGCTCTAACATCCTGTCAACAGGTGGTGAGATCTGTTACTAGGTATGTGAGCCCAGGAGTCTGTTTACTTTTCTTGTATGGGTTCAACTCAGGTGTCCAGGTAGTCAATCACAAAGTGTGTGGTGCAAGCTGTCACCTATAGTCCTAGACGGGCAGTGCTGATTGGTATAGACACAGGTATCTGGCTGCGGTAGTGGGTCACACGCTGAGCAAGACAGGGGGCTGACAGTTGTCCCTGAATGTGTGGGAGGGAAGGGTGTCCCTGTTCCCTAGAGCGCTTAGGTGGGTGGGTTTTGCAGCCAGACTATGGGCACCCAGTGCTATTGTCTGTAAGGACTGGGAGGCACCACTTATTTTTAGACCTCTGTTGCGGGTGGCTATGTGACATGTGTGGAGCCATCAGTCCTCAGGCCCCTGATGTGGGTAGGTGAGGACTCTGCTTAATAGGCAGAGCAATGTCAAATGTCACAAACCTGCCACTCCACTGTATAGCTGATACAGTCGAAGTTAGGCTTCAGGTGTATACCCTGTTGTGCTGCGCTAATGAGGGCCTATGCTGTTGAAATGGGCCCACACAGGTCTGTGCAGGGGTGAAAAACATTATAAATCCATGGACCCCTTATGCCTGTGCCTAGGCAAAGGAGCTGCTCCTACCCTGAGTTCCTGGCTTAGGAGAGCTGGCAGATTTTTCCCTGTTTGTTAATTTGTTCCCTCTCCGAGGTCGGGAGAATGGCTCAGGGTGCATGACGGGTCCTACTTCCGGCCCAGGGGTGGTGGCAATTGCTGAAGCCGGCCTGGTACCTGGTGCAGAGCTGGGAGAGGACAGGTAAATGGGATAGAGATTTTTCCCAAAGGGGGTGATTTTTGATCCATGCGGTAGCTCAGACGAATGTACTTATCTTTTGCTGATTGAGCACCTCTTTTCCCTGGTTCTAGAGGTCCGAGTAGACTTTCTGCTGCTGGGTCTCTCCCGATGTGGAAAACACATCGGAGCACCACTACTTGCCTCACCTCGCTGGCCAGCTGATCTAGCCAGCTTCCACTGGGTGAAGTCTGGCAACTCCTCACTGCTTCCGAACAGTCTCTCCCTCCCCCTGCCACTCAGTCCAATTCTCACCTTTGCCTTTGATGTTCAGGGCTCCTAGATTGTCATATATAATCGATTCACTTGTTTTTTGGGGTCTTTATTGTAAGAGAGACCACAGGAAGCGTCTGACTACTCCGCCATCTCAGCCCCGCCTCCCCAGTGCTTATTTCTTAATGGTATGAGGTCCACCTGTCTCTGCTTGCTTCTGTCTTTTATATCTCAAAACAGATTGACTTAAGACATAACCTAATACCTAATCTTATAGATTGAGTCCCATATCATCAACATAACTGTCGCTTATCCCATCTCATTAACACCATAGAGCTAGACTTTACAGCACATATAAAATCACATCAGATGACAGAATGGTGGACAGTCACACAATACTGGGAATCATGGCCTAGCCAAGTTGACAGATATTTTGGGGAGACACAATTCAATCCATGACACTGCCCTCCCCACCAATAACACCAACAATGGTAAAAACCGACAAGGAGCAAAACTAAATAGTTTAGTGAGGCTTGACTATACAGAGAGAGAGAGGACTCATAGTAGGAGGTAAGGAGATGTACAGCAGGTCAGGAAGTCTTCAGACCATACTAAGGAAAGTAGACTTACTAGGAATGGATTGCTTTGTAGAGCCCCATTAGCTGTGACTTGTAGCCTACCTTTCTTCTTTGGCTTCAGATTGGCTGGGAAAGACTCCAAAAAGACCCTTTAAAAATATTTGTTGAATTAACACAATTATGAATCTTCATACATAGAGGTTGGATGTTTCTATATTTGAAGAAATGGATCTGTTGTAGTAGCTTTCCTGAGGTAATGAATTGGGAGTCCCAGCTCTACCTCCCAACAGTTACTGTCATTTAATAGTTGGGGACATTGGGGTTTTGAGAGGTCAAGCAGCTTGTCCATGGTCACTCAGCATGGTCGTTAAATGACTTAACTGTTCACTTTGGAGGAAGTTGCTTATAATGTCATAGCTTGCCAAAAGCTGTTTAGGTAAGAAAATGGCCCCAGATGGAGATCCTTGAGGTCAAGAAGGCCTTTTGGGCCTGTTTTGGGAAGTCTTTTGTGGGGGAGAATATATACAGCCTCTAAGAGTGTGGGATTGGGAATAGCAAAGGAAGAACAAGGACACTTTGTTTTGGAAAAATGACCATCTCTCAGGCAGCACCTGCCCCTTCACCCCCCAATTCTTTTAATGCTTCCTATTCCCCATTTTGGAAACCCTAGTGGTGTAATGGTTAAGAGCTATGGCTGCTAACCAAAAGGTTGGCAGTTTGAATCCAGCAGGCACTCCTTGGAAACACTATGGGGCAGTTCTGCTCTGTCCTATAGGGTCACTATGAGTCGGAATTGACTCAACAGCAACAGGTTTGGTGTTTTTTTTATTCCCCATTTCTAAAGTATATAAATACATCAATAAAAAAAAGTAGGAAAAACTTTTAGACTTCCAATAAGATAAATGGCTCTGTAAGGGTAGAGTGAGCTCTGACATTGAAATTGTAGCTAGAAACTGCAGATATTAATAAAGTGAAAATTAGTGTTGAATTTTTTGGAATTGCCTGGAACAGACACTCTACACTTCTTGTTTTTGTTTTGTCTATACCCTAGCAAGAAGATTTGAGCATTTACCACTCAATATGTGTTTATCAGTTATAAAGGTGCTGCTATATTAATATATTGTTAAAAATAGAAAATGAAAAAAGGTGAGATAAAAAATATAATTAGAACTGTATGATTCCACTTATATAAAATATCTACAACAGGCAGATACATATGACGAAAGTTTATCAGTAGTTACCAGGGGTTGATGGGAGGAGAGAATGAGGAGTTATCGTTTATGGGGTACTGAGTTTCTGTTTGGGGTAATGAAAAGGTGTTGAAAATCGATGGTGGTGACAGTTACACAGCATGGTGAATGAGATTGAGGTCACTGAGTTATACATTTAAGAGTGGTTGAAATGAGTTTTTTTGTGATGTATATTTTACTACAGTTAAAAAAAGAATTAGAATTTATAATGTTTTCTTCTCATAGTTCAGTGTCTCCTCTTGTTTACTCCCAGGTTGGAAGCTAGGAATTGGAGAAGGAGCTTTTCATAAAGTAGAACTTAATGGGTGGTTTCATAGCCTGAGTGCCCTAGACAGAGCGCCTCTAGGATTGCCTCAGGCCTGAGGCTTCTGCATTTTATACCTGTAAGAGGTATAAACAGGCTGCTGCTAATGGCCTAAGGTTGTCATTCATTCCTATCATAAGCAGACAGCTAACAAATAGTTTGTAGGAGTCTCTTTTGCCACATTTTATACCACAGAGAGGCCATAAACAGTAGTCTCTTTGGGCAGACAGTTAGTACCCAGTGAACCTTTAGTATACTCCCAGGTGGACAGGAGTTTTCCATTGAAAAGAGCAACAGATGCAGAGAAGGGAGATTATTACTGTCTTAGCCCTTCTATGGGCAAGGGTCTAGGTTTAGTTAGTCTTTTGTTTGTCCTTCTTACCACCTGAAAAATGGGAGGGTTTTAGGCACATCCTAAGGTGATAATAAGAAGCCCTGGTGGCGCAGTGGTTAAACACTCGGCTATGAACCAAAAGTTCAGCGGTTTGAACCCACCTGCTGCTCCACGGGAGAGAGATGTGACAGTCTCCTTCCGTAAAGATTTACAGCCTTGAAAACCCTGTGGGGCAGTTCTACTCGGTTGTATAGGGTCACTGTGAGTCGGGATTGTCTCAATGGCAGTTTTTGGTTTTTTAAGGTGATAATAATAATTTTTAAATGATATTATTTATTGATACTTAGTTTGTGCCTGGTTCAATTCAATGCTATATATCTATATATAGTTATATATGTATATATGCGTGTATGTACGCACACACGTCTATATAAAGTGTATGTATATAGTGTGTAATGCAATAAGCCAGTTAAGGTAGTTACTACCATTCCTGTTTTATATATAGATAGAGAAATCTAACAAAATATAGCACTCTAAAGCTTATATATTTTTTGTATGATCTATATTTTCATTTGCTTACTCATTAGTAAGTTTTCATTCATTTAACTAATGATTATTTAATACTTAACAGTATGTCAGGCACTTACTAAATGTTCAGGATACAGAAATGACAATGGGTGGTTTCTGCTCTCAAGGATCTTATAACCTAGTGAAACAAAAGATAAGTAGCATTTGTATAGCATTTTATTGTTTATAAATATATTTCATATGTATTATTCAGTCTTCACAATGCCTTATTTTACAAGTGGGAAAATTGAGTCTCTGAGATAGAACTTGAACCCAAGCTAGTGAATCATTTGTTATACCATAGACCTCAAGGGTTCAGATTAATTTCCTTTGAAGTATAGTTTACTCTGTTTAAGGAAATGATCACGTTAGTAGCTTAGAACACAGGTTTTAGTGTTCTGCTCAGTCTTACATAGGAGTTATTAATTTAGGGCACATTTTAAAGACAACTTCACTGTGCTTTTTTCAAGACAAAAGAGATGAAAATTTTTTAATTTTTGCATCCTTTATTGTTCATTCGTATACTTGGGATGTGTTTAATCTTTCATTTTTACCACAGGAAACTTCAGAGTGGACCTTGGATTACCCCCCTTTTTTTGCATGGTTTGAGTATGTACTGTCACATGTTGCCAAATATTTTGATCAAGAAATGCTGAATACCCATAATCTGAATTACTCCAGCTCAAGGACCTTACTTTTCCAGAGATTTTCCGTCATCTTTACAGATGCACTCTTTGTGTATGCTGTCCATGAGTAAGTCTGGAATATCATTCTGTGTAGAGGTGTTGAGAAAATATTATGATATTAAATAGTATTAACTTGTTCCTGATTTGGGAGAAACAAAGTTCATATTATAGCAAATGCGAGAACAATCCAAAACTCTTATGTTTTAAACTGTACAGTGAGTAATTACAGTAAGCAGTCTTGCTAAATCTTGTGGAAGAAAATTGGGATAAAGTGGGGTTACAAGGCAGAGGGAGAACAAGAGATTGTGAATACTGAGAAAGGAAGTAATCCAAGTAGAGTTCTAGGGCCATTTCTCCTGCTCAAAATGGCTCCGTATGCTCTTCTTGCCTTCCTTGCTGCAAGCCCCCAGAGGCTGCCATAACCTACCCTGTTCTTTGGAATACGCAGACCACATGCACCCTTGTGCACATATGCATGTGCTAACCACCGAAGTCCCTGCTCTTATGGAGCTTACATTCTAGTAAGCTCAAGAAATCTTACTCAATATGTTCAGTTGTATCTGGACTCTTTCCTTCATGAAGATTCTTCATTAATTTTAAGTTATTTTTGTATTTTTTATTTTACATCTTTTACTTATAAATTAATTTTAAATAATTGAATACATATGTATAGAGTCTCTTGCATGGTGACTTCCAAGTAGTAAGTTCTCAGTTAATGTTGATTTCCATTCTGTTCTAATCCTTAAGCCTGCTAGTGTGGTTGTGACCTTGTCATCAATGAATGTTCCTGTTTGTGAGGTCCTCCAGACTGAACCGTTCCCCATTTGGGAAAGAATCCCTTGGGAATCTTTTAACCCTTGCTCACTCTCATTAAAGTCACTCTGTTTGCTGCCATAACCTTCCATTTGTTTCTAACCTGGCAGGATTTGGAAGGGAAAGTAATTTGTGATGCACTCCTTTTACCCCAGTTGTTTTTTTAAATTCAAGCTCCCAGCGAAGTGTGTACCAGCAGAAAGGGAGAGGGAGTAGAACCTTTTCCCATCTGCAAAGTAAAGGGAAAGTTAAGTAAGATATAAATTGTTGAAAATCTATGTACCAGTTCCCAGAGCCAGGCCCTATGTGTAGATGATTAATTTATTTAAATTTTCAATTACTCTTAAGGTTACTATCTCTATTAAAGAGGAAACTGAGGCTGAGTAGCGGAGAAGCATGACACTTTTTGCTACCCATAAAACCCATTGCTGATTCCGACTCACGGCGACCTTATAGGACAGAGTAGAACTGCCCCATAGGGTTTCCAAGGCTATACTCTTTCCGGAAGCAGACTGCCACATTTTTCTCCTTTGGAGCTGCTGGTGAATTCAAGCCACTGACCTTTCGGTTAGCAGCCGAGTACTTAACCACTGCACCACCAGGACTCCTACACCTTTTGCTAAAAAAAAATCAAACCAAACCCGTTGCCATCGAGTCGATTCCAACTCATAGTGACCCTATAGGCCAGGGTAGAACTTCCCCATAGGGTTTCCAAGGAGCGGCTGATGGATTCGAACTGCTGACCTGTTGATTAGCAGCCGAGCTCTTAACCACTGTGCCACCAGGGTTCCACACCTTTTTCTAGCCCTCTTTAATTGCATTTTTGTTGTGCCTATTTGTTTTAGATTTTCTTATTTTCAGAATTCAGTAGTATTCAAATGAAACACTTTTTAAAAAATCTTTTTATAAAACAATACATCCTCATTGTCAGAATTTTGGAAAACATAAAAAAGCACACACCCACAAAAAGAAAAATGACTGATACTCCCCCACCTATAGCTATGACTATAAGCATTCTGGTGCATATTATTTTAGCCTTTTCTCTGTGTGTGTGTGAATATACTTTTTTTTTTTTAAATATACTTTCTACAAAAGAAAAATGATATCATACTGTTTTGTTACCTGCTGTTGGAATAATATACCTTGGCCTTTAAATGACATACATGTTACATAAGGATTTTTTCTGTTATTTGAACAATCAGGAGCTGCAGGTTCATGACTCTTCTTAATCTGGCTGATACGATGATATATACTTAAGAGCGCTGTATCACCCTACGTTTTTCACTCTGTGGGACTGAAACAGTGCACAGCCTCTCAGTTTTCAAAATTCTTACTTTGTAATTTTTGTTGGCTGTTTTTTTAAATTTTAGCTTTATTAAGTGAAGACTTTTTTTTTTTTTTTCCCAAAATCAGTATGGCTGAGAAAGAGAAGTAAGACTGGCCCTGAGGTCTTTGTTTCTGTTGCCACCTTTTTAAGAACCCGCATGTTTGATCAATTAAGAATGGCATGGACATTTGGTCAGGAATAGAGAATAAAATGTATCATAGTGTTCTCTGCAGAAGTATTGATCTCATAAAGATCAAAGTTGTTTCTGATTCTTCCCTGATGTTTCAATATAGGTGCTGTAAATGGATTGATGGAAAAAAAGCCAGTAAAGAACTTACAGAGAAGCCAAAGTTTATTCTGTCAGTATTACTGCTGTGGAACTTTGGACTGTTAATTGTGGACCGTATCCTTGACACATTTTATATGCTTTTACCTTACTTGTTCTGATATATACCAAGTATAAGATTAATTCTTTCTATAATGATGATTGCGAAATGTGAGCTACTTTTGAAAATAGAGGGTAGGTTGATGAATTCCCAAAACTGTGGTCTCTACCCAACTTTACTGGGCTCTGGTTGTTAGAGCACTTTGTCCTGGAAAAGTTAGTGGTGATATGTGTGAACCAGCTACACCATCATGGATTTGTTAACAGTATTTAGATTAATCTAATAGATATACTGTACCTTAAATAGTTTTATAACACGTTTTCACAGGAAAGGTATCACAGTGTGCCTTATGGCAACAGGCAGGCCTTCATGCTTTTCCACCATCTTGGCTTACCATATATTAACAGGCAAAGTTCTTAAATCTAGTGAGCCTGAATATAATTAAAATCCTAGTGATAGAAACCTAATAGTTTTGGTTTTCATGGAGGCAGCTTGGTATGGAGGAAAACACTCGGACCTTGGTTAAAGACTGACCTGGACCCGAGAAGACATGGCTTCTGGACTCTGTTAGCCCAAAACTAAAACCATACCTGAGGCCAACTCTTCAGACAAGGATTAGACTGGACTGTGGGACATAAAATGATACTTGAGAAGAGTGTGTTTCTCAGCTCAAATAGATACATGAGACTAAATGGGCAGCTCCTGTCCGGAGGAGAGATGAGAAGGCAGAAAGGGTCAGGAGCTGGTTGAGTGGACACGAGAAGTCTGGGGTGGAAAGGAGGAGTGTGCTGTCAAACAGTACAGGGAGAGCAGCTAGGGTCACATAACAATGTGTGTATAAATTTTTGTATGAGAGATTAACTTGAATTGTAAATTTTCACTTAAAGCACAACAGTAAATAAAATAAAAAAAAAAAAACTGACCTGGACTCAGATCTTTGTTATGTCACAGTAGCTTTATGACTGTGAGTAGATTAATGTCCCTGAGCCCTAATTTACTTATCTGTAAAGCATGGATGATAATTCATTGTGAGGCTTAATAAACAAGATTGTGCATGTGCTGTAAACAAGGCAGGGCTGACAGTGGAGGACTTCAAAAAAAAAAAGCAAAAATCTTGCCTTTTAAAAATGGCAAATTGTATTTTTTGGGGATCTTTAAGGTAGGAAAAAACAATGTTTTCTTTTTTTTCCTTCATAAACAAATTTTAATTAAAGAGTTTATCCAGGATTTGACTCTGTATAGAAAACACTTTATATGAAACCCAAATTCATAGTAATATTTTTGTCTTTATTTTACCTATGAAGAAAACATTTGTAATTTCTGTAGTTGATCTGCTAGCATGGTTCACTGTGAATTTGATGTCTTCTTTTCTCTTTCCTTGACCTAAGTCCAGATATTCATTTCCAGTACAATGGCTTTTTATTTGGATTAATGCTGCTTTCCATTGCACGATTATTTCAGGTAAACACAAAATTGGAAAATTAGATTTTTTTCCCCCTTAAATGTGGTTTTTAGCTTGTAAAGGCACCAGTGTGATGGATGATGAATAAATTTAGTTGACCAACTGTTTCAAGTTGCCAAGTGCTATAGTCACTTTTATTGGATATTTTTCACAAATTCCATCTTCTCTTTTGACAGTAATTTTCTTCATTTTCCAGATGAGAAAATTATATTGTAAAAACTGGTCGTAGTGTGGGAGGCTTGAAGTAAACTTGAGTTTTTATGTTTGGTCAAGGTCATTTATCTTGGTATGAACTCTCTGGCAGTTTTTACAATGTACAGCTATGATAGTGGTGCTTTACCATCAGAAGCGTGTAGCATAGTGTAATGGAAAGTATGGGATTTGGAATCAGAAGACCTGAGTTCAAATCCTGACTCTAACTGTAATGAGCTGTGTGACTCAGGCTTCAGATTAGGTATATTGCATATATCTTATTGAGTAAGCCTCACAACCATTGTGTGAGGTTGGTTTTATTCCTTTTATAGAGGAAGAAATCAGAAATTCAGTTTTCTGGGCTACCCCTCTCTACAGTGTTTCAGAATCTCTGGGATTGGGGCCTAGAGATTCCCAGGGAATTTTGATAGACAGGTTTGGGAACCATCAACCCAAGGCAAATCATTTAACCCTCTCAGCCTGTTTTCTCATGAAAAGATTTTTACCCCTTGCTACATTTTTATTTGTAAAATGGTGCTATCTGTCTCACAGGGACTTTGGAAAGATCAAATTCGGTAATGTATTTTAATGCTGTTTATCAACCTGAAATATCAGGATAAATTTTTTTCTTTTAATCATAAAAAGCCACATAGGGCTTAGAACATAATTGGTGCCCAATAAATGACTGTTGGATGGTTGTTAAACAAATAAACTGAAGTTTGACCATAGAACCAGCTATAGAATCAGGCCTTATCTGGATCTTAAATAAATTATAAAATTGGTGCAGAGAGATATCTGGAAGCATCCCATTCTTTTTACTTTTCTTAAACCAATGTATTCTAGAACCATGTCTGATGAGACAGCAAGAGAAGGTACCCTGGCCTTTCATGGTCCCTTTGGAAGTTTACGTTTTTGAATCCTAAGACCATTATCTCGTTTGATACTTCCAAAATTCTTGTGAGGTAGGTAGAATTCAGACTTAATTGTAGTCAATTCTGTTTTTTGTTTTTTTTTTAAATCGGAATACCTTTAGTCTCCTAGACAGTTTGTTAGGATCCAGTGCTATGCTGGGTGCCTTCAGCCTAATAATACTATATGTTACCTAGTCTGTAACATAGAATTTAAATGGTTCTTTAGTAACATAGTATCCTATGTATTAATTCATACTCCTATTCCCAGCTTCTCTTTGGAAATCAACTCCAGCTGTTGTAAAACTGTAAGGAAGTGGGAGTAATTGAATTCTCTAGGCTCTAGCTCCTTAGGGAAAATTTAGTGTATGTTTTTACTGATGGTAATATCCTGCACCTCAGCATCAAGCTTAGTACGTAATAAGTATTTGTTGAAATACTTAATTTTTGAACCCACTAAACTCAGTATAAAAGCTAGCCGGAATCACTTGCCTGTTGCGTTCTGTTTATACTGCCTTTAGAACATTTATCCTGAATTTTTGTAACTTTTTCTTATAGAAAATTTAAATGATATACAAAGATAGAAAATAGTGATTGCTACACGCACACATACACAGAGGATTATTTTGAAACACATCCCAGACATCATATATCATTCATAAGTATTTCAGAATATATCTTAAAATATATATATATATTTTATTTTGTAATAAATCCTTTTTTTTGGAATAATTTTAAATTTACAGAGAAATTGCAAGGATAGTACAGAGAGTTCCTGTATAGCCCTCACCCAGTTTCCCCTGATGTCAACATCTTACATAACCTTGTTACATTTGTCATGACTAAGAAACCAACATTGGTACATTTAGATTTCACCAGTTTTTCCACTCATGTCCTTTATCTATTCCAGGATCCAATCCAGGAGACTGCATTATTACGTTTATTTCACCTTGAATATTAAAGTGATATTTCTCTTCTAAATCTCCTAGAAAAGGCATCTGGAAGGAGCATTTCTTTTTGCTGTTCTCCTACATTTCAAGCACATTTACCTCTACGTAGCACCAGCTTATGGTGTATATCTGCTACGATCTTACTGTTTCACTGCAAATAAACCAGGCAAGTTTTAGTGATAGTAACACAACTTTTCTTCTTCGTTTCTTTCCTTACCGTATTGGCTTGGTGGCTTGCTTGGTGAAAGGGTTTTATGAGGTACAGTAGAGATCTCTTAGCTACTGATCCTATAAACCCTTTACCCATTCTAACTCTTCTCTGCTCTTGCAACATTATAAAGATTGTTGTACCATTAAAGGGTACTTCTAGTTTTAGCACATGGTATAAGTTAGGACTTTCCATTCTCTTGGTTAATGATAATGTTCCTTTTCCGTAGATGGGTCCATCCGACGGAACAGTTTCAGCTTTGTCCGTTTTATTTCCCTGGGGCTGATTGTTTGCCTAGTTTCTGCTCTTTCGTTGGGTCCTTTCCTAGCCTTGGTAAGTTCTTTTTTTCTTTTTTTTAAATAAAGTAATAACATGTTTTGTTGTTGTTGTTGCTGTTGTTTAGAAAAAAATAATAATAAAGTCAGGGATATATAAGATAAGAAGTTATTCCTTTCTTACTCTTCCTTCCCAAAATGACTCCCCCCAAATAGGATGATATTTTTGTGCATATTCAAATACATGTATGTATATGTGTATGTTTAACTGTATGTCACACACATACACATACTTTTTTCCTCAACTCCATTGGGATAATACTGTGCAAACTGTTTTTTAATTTGCTTTTTTAAATTAAAAACATATCATGACATTTGTCCATTTCAGTAGAGAAGGAGAAATCATTCTTTTTACAGCTGCATAATAGTCCATTGCATGCGTAAAAACTTTATTGAAATCTGTTATACTTCACTTTAAAAGGTATTCCACTCTAAAATCAAACCTGGTGGACTAGGACTCAGGTATTTACATAATTACATTAAGATTACTTATTTAATCAGTTCCCTATTGATGGGCATTTAGGTTCTTTCCAGTTTTTTTTAATAATAGCAAGCGATGCTCCAATGAAATCCATATATATGTATCTTTATGCATTTGGAGCCCTGGTGGTGCGGTGGTTAAGAGCTACGGCTGCAAACCAAAAGGTCGGCAGTTCAAATCCACCAACCGCTCCTTGGAACCCTGTGGGGCAGTTCTACTTTGTCCTGTAGGGTCACTATGAGTCGAAATTGACTCGACGACAACAGGTTAGTTGCCTAGGAGACCTAGATAAAGGTTGGCATCAAGGTCTTCTTCCTGAGACTGTTTCAGGAAAGGTCTTAATAGCTCCTGTGAAACAGTTTATTGTTATTCTCTCAGTTTAACCACAAAGAAGAAGAGAAAACTTTCTTTAGTTTATACTTAGTCACAAGCTTTAAAGAGTAAATCAGGTTTTCATATATTAAAAGATAGGCAAGGTAGAGCAAGCCCCATTTCACTTTAGTCAGGTGCCTCAGTTTACATGCTGTTACTCATTAGCAAACATGTCAAACTTAAATATCTTACATGTATTTGTAAATAGGTTACCATTCCTGAACTGTGAAAATCTTTTGGGCTAACTCTGCCTCCATTCTCAGTTTTGGGAGTGAGGAGTTTGACATGGAGCTTGCTTTGAAACATCATCCACAACTATCTGTAGAGAGTTCCATGAGAATTTAAGGACACCATTTGGTTTAACCCATTGTCTTTCCGTTAGTTACACATGTTGGGCCAACGTAGAAAGAGGGCTAAATCAAAGGGGTAAGTAAATAGCCTGCAACTGCTTGGTATTGATTGAAGGCGGGACCAGGAGAAAAGTTTATCCCTATACTTCTGCCCTATTACCTTAACTTGTAATTCTGACCATTCTGAGATTTGGCCAGCATGAGCTAAGACGTTAGTTAATTTGTAGCTGGGGGACCCTGGATCAATAGATTAGCGGAGAAGCAATCACTTTTTTCCATTGTACCCAAAACGCTTAAACCCAAATTTAAAACCTGAGAGGCAAGACTATCTTAAGTATAGATAGCACCTGAATCACTTTGCAATTGATGTCTTCCCTTAAACCATTGGTTCTCATATCCTGTAGACTGAGGTACATACTGAAATATTTATGGATGAAATGAAAATGTCTGCAATTTGCTTCAGAATAATACAGGAGGTGGGGAAGTTAATGGTGATATAGACGAAATTGAAACAAGGCTGGCTATGAATTGCTAATTACTGAAACTGGGTAGTAAGTACATAAACCCAAACCTGTTGCCGTTGTGTCAGTTCTGACTCACACTGACCCCACGTGTACATAGGATTCATTATACTGTTCTATTTTATGTATGTTTGAAATTTACACACACAACCCTCAGTCAGCTCTTCAGATGATTCTGATACCCAGCTATAGTTAAGAACCATTGCCTCAAATAGTTAGCACTATACTTAAAAACAACCTTATTGGAGTCTGTTATTTCTCACTTTAAAGATATTCCACTCTAAAATAAAACCTGGTGGGCTAGGATCAGGGTGTTCACAAAATTATATTTCTGTCCATCGAGTTTAGGAGTGAAAATATGCTAAAATATGGTGATCAAATAGTAGGGCTAAATCACATCTTTTTATAGATTGGAACATTTATTTTTAAGAAAATAACCAATTTTACGTAAGTTGTAAACATTTTTATATGAAGAACATGAATTGACTTGCATTTGCATCTGCAAAAATTAAGCAGGACATAATAATTTAGTAATTAAGTAATTTATGTGAAGCTTTTGCTGTTCAGTTGTAGGAAGGTAACTGATATAAAAAAACACTGAACTTGGACTATCTGCTCTGCTGCTTATTAGCAGAATGAACAGGGCAAGACACTCATCTCTCAGCCTTATTTTTCTCAACTGTAGAAGGGGATAAAGGCCCCAAAGGCCCATTATGTATATTGAGTGAGATAGTTATTATATGGGGATGTTATTTGTAAACTATGGTAGACTTTACAAACTGGATGAAAATTTAATTCACTTTGAATTTATTAATTTATTCAACATATATTTATTGCACACTTGTGTAAGGCTTGGTATAGGTATACGACTTTGAAAAACAGAACTTTCCAGACCTTGCAGAGCTTTAACTCTAGTGAATAAGGAAAGCATTCAATGAGTAACAGCTATAAAGAGTGATATACTTTAATGTGATGGAAATAGAGGATGCTGTGGGAACACACGCAGCAGAGGGACCTAACCTAGCCTAGGAGCCAGGGAATGCCCCCTTTGAACAAAGGGACATTTAAACTAAGATTTAAGTAATGATAGTGGGATTAAGTCCGGTGAAGGGCAGGTGAGGGAGAGTAGGGAGAAGAGGCAATGGTTCTGGGATGAGAAAGGAGGGAACTAAAAGGAGTTTAGTAACTGCAGGAAGGAAAGTGGTGAAATATGAGGCTGGAGCGTGATATGGGTCAGTTAGTGGCCATGTTAAAGGGTTTTACTGGGACAGTGGGGAAACCAGAAGGAGTTTAAACAGGGAAGAAAGATGTGTAGATTTGTGTTTAGAAAGATTACTCTGTCTTCCCCTGTCTTGTTGCTCTACCATGTGTAACTTCCATTCCCAAAGTCACCTGTGGTTATATAGGAATGGGTTGGAGGGAGAGGGCAAGAGTGAAAGTGGAAAGTTCGAAGGCTGCTGGAGAGGCATGAAGTGTTGATGACCTGGACTAGGGAAGAGACAAAGGGCATGGAGAGAGTGGACGATCTGAGAGCGATGTAGGAGGTAGACTCTATAGTACCACAAAGGAGAAAACGAACAACCAGAGAAATGGGAGGGATCAGGAGTGTGGGGCATGAGCATAAAAGGAAGAGCATTCTGAAAAGGAGGGCAGTCAACTCTCTCAGCTGTGCTGGAAGTTCAAGCAGAGTAAGACTTCAGTGAACTTGATGACATGAAGGCCACTGGTGACCTTGTATGAGAGCAGTTTTGGTGGAGAGGTCAGGGCAGAAGTCAGACTGCAGTGAGGAGAAATGTGATTGAGAAGTAAGGAAATGGAGCCAGGGAGTACAGACAACTCTGCAAGAAGCTTGCCCTTCTTAAGAAGAGGAGAGAGGATAATAATTGAAGGAAGGGCTAAGGTTTCAGGAATTTGATGTTGTTTTCTTTGTCTCTCCGTAGGGTTTGTGAGGACTAGATAAGACCTATTAAAGTGCTTTAAAAAGTAGGGCCTGCTGGCGTTAGTAGGAGCGGTTATGAGTAGGAGCTTTGCAGTCGGACCTCAGGTTGAACTCTGGCACTGCTACTTCATTGCTGTGTGAACTTGGGCAAGTCATTTAACATCTCTTTATGATTTAGTTTGCTCATTTGTAAAACAGAGGATGGAGGTTGTCCTTTGGCATCCCGTCACCCAGCTCCAACATACAGTGCTGTCCTGACAGTGGCTGCGTGGATCAGTGGAAATAGCATGAACTTTCAAGTTAGATCAGGATTTGAATTTTGGATTCTTCACTTCCTAGTCGGACAAATTATAGTTATCTCTCATTCTCCAACTTTGCTGTCTGACCTTAGAATCTCAGTAATTTGAATAGCAAGAGATACTTTTGTAATCAACTTTGAGTTTTCTTGTTCTCAGATAAAAGGGTAGCGTTTTGGTGAGGACCAAATGAACCGATGTATCTAAAGTCAACTAAGAAATCAACTAAGTAATTTTAATTCCCACTAAAATTGAAAAATACCACATCGTTTGTAAAGTATTCCCTACTCTCCCCTTCATTAGATAAGCTTCAGTCCGTGCTCTCCTTGCACCTTGTAAATATTTCCATTATTATATTTATGTCATAATAGTGTCAGACTGGTATTCAGAGTACTTTCATGAATCGTGTCCACTCGACAGATGAGCTTAGACAAGAGGTTCTGTGAACTGCTCAGGAGTATGCAAGTACTTATTTGAAGAAGCAAAGACTGGGACCCAGACCTCATAACTTTCTACACACTATGCCATAGACAAAGAGCCCTGGAAGTATAATGGTTAAAAGCTTGGCTGCTAACCGAAAGGTCAGTGGTTCAAACCCACCAGCAGCTCGGCTCTGCGGAAGAAAAGACCTGGTGATCTGCTCCCGTAAGGATGACAGCCTAGGAAACCTTATGGGGCAGTTCTCCTCTGTCCTATAGGGTCACTATAAGTGGCAGTCGACATGACAGCACGTAACAACATGCCATAGACGATTCCCTGTTCCTCTTTTTAACTTGGAAAAAATTGATCAGTGTGTAATCTGTTTATTTTTTCTTTTCAACAGAACCAGCTGCCTCAAGTCTTTTCACGACTTTTCCCTTTCAAGAGGGGCCTCTGCCATGCATACTGGGCTCCAAATTTCTGGGCTTTGTACAATGCTTTGGACAAAGTGCTGTCTATCATTGGTATAGTAGCAAACCTTTTTACCTAGACCATGAATATTGAAAGGATTACTTGCATCTAGAAATGGAAAAACCTGCTTTGTGTTTTGATTGTGGCTGAACTGTTTGTTCTCCAATCCAGCATTTCATGATGAACAGGGGGAGCAGCTGGTTCTTGGGACTGAGGCTTTAGCGCAGTTAACAGCACACTGACTGCATTCGTTATCAAGGCTGTTTGTAGCAGTGAGGTTGTTGGTGCTTTCCTTGGGGAAAAAGGAAATATTCAAATGTTTTTGGAGGTAATTTTTGCCATAATCAAAACAATATTCAGCAGAGTTAACCCTACTTTTAAACCTGAATGTGTGAAAAAGCAGAAAAGAAGAATGTGTAAGTTGTGATTCTGGGTATTAAATCAGTAAGGAAAATGATACGTATGCATTTTGGTGTGGTGAGGAGAAACAGGAAACGTAGGCTATGCTTTTAAATTTGGGTTGTGATGAAAAGTAATTTATGCCTTGAGCTGGTTCTGCTGATAATAACTCAGTTCGGAATAACTCACATTCTCTCATTTGTGAATCCATCCTGACTTGGTGAGAGATTGACAGGATCTAGAGCAGGAATCAACAAAGGTTTGCTGTGATGGGCCAGAGAGTAAATATTTAAGGCTTTGCAGGCTGCATACTCTGTTTTGGGGTTTTTGTTTTGTTTTATAACCCTTTAAAAATATAAAAACCCTTTATAGTTCAGGATTATGCAAAAACAGGCCACAGGCTGGATTTGGCCTGTAGGTTATAGTTTGCAGATCCCTGATGTAGTGTCTGATGACTTGGTTTGTAGGTCCACATGCATAAAATGCTGGTTGTGTGGCACTGGGCAAGTCATTTGTTTCCTCTTGTCTTGCTTTCCTCATCTGTAATAGGGAAGCAATAGTAATTAACAGCATGTCCTGAGGAACAAATGCAAGAATAAAGTGCTAGGATATCATAGCAGAGGCTTTAGAGCTAGACAGAAGCTCTGCCACCTATTGTGTGACTGTGGGCAAGTTATTCCATCTCTCTGTGCCTCAGGGAGCTAAAAATAATGGCTGCAAAACCTGTGGCATATGGTAGATGCATTAATGTGTGGTGGCTGCTATTACTGTTTTTGATAACATACTTGTAGGAAATCATAACTTGTTGTCCCCCACTCACTTTGAATACAGCCTTGATGTACATGGCATTCTTGCAAAGTAATTTCTTAGCGTTTATATTTCAAAAAAGCTTTAAACAGCCAGTAAAGAATCAGTACAAGGGTCAGTTGCCTTGCCTGAGTCAAGAGATTGTGCTATCCCTTACGTTGTATATCTGTCTCTTCAAAAATATGTTACTTGGAAAGTCATTGACAGGTTAGACAACTGTGCATTTTGAGGTTTTGAGGAGATAATTATTAGCTTTAAGAGAAAATATCTGGTGAAGGGAAAGGCAATACACAGAATCGAGGAAGTCAGCACAACATGACCAAGGTAAATGAAAACACTGAGAGGTATGCAAGAATAAAGGACAACTACAGTAAATGCTATAATATACACAATTCTGCAATAACAACCAAAATTTTGTGAGTGGTTACATGGGTAGATATGTATGCTATATAGGTGTGGGAAGACGTATGGGAGTACATGCATGTGCATATATAGGTATAGTTGTGGGCATTTGCATATACATATTTGTATGTACATATGTATTCATATATATAATAGAGCACATAGAGGGCACAGTTATGGAAACTTCTTAGACGTATCCAAATACCTTGTGGGACTGAATTACTGGACTTGAAGTCTAAGGACCATAGTCTTGGGGGACATCTAGGTCAATTGGCATAACATAGTTCATAAAGTTAATGTTCTACATCCTAGTTTGGTGAGTAGCATCTGGGATCTTAAAAGCTTGTGAGAAGCCATCTAAGATACAACTATTGTTCTGTTCCTGTCTGGAGCAAAGGAGAGTGAAGGAAACCAAAGACTCGAGGAAGCAATTAGTCCACAGGACTAATAGCCCACAGGAACCACAGCCTCCTGTAGCCTGAGACCAGAAGAACTAGATGGTGCCCAGCTACCACTACTGACCACTCTGACCAGGGACACAATAGAAGGTCCTGGTTAGAATGGGAGAAGATGTAGAACAAAACTCAAATTCATAAAAAAAAGACCAGACCAGCAAGACTGGTAGAGACTGGAGGAACCCCTGAGACTATTACCCTAAGACACCCTTTTTATCCTGGAACTGAAGCCACTCCCAGAGGTCACCTTTCAGCCAAATAATAGATTGGCCTATAAGACAAACAATAACACCCATGAGGAATGTGCTTCTTAAAACAATCAGCTATACAAGATGAAATGGGCGACATTTGACCAAAAGCAAAGATGAGAAGGCAAGGAAACTGGAAGGATGGAAACAGGAAAGGCAGGGTGGAAATGGGGAGAGTGCTGACATATTGCAGGGATAGCAACCAATGTCATAGAACAATTTATGAATTGTTGAATGGGAAACTAATTTGTTGTGTAAACTTTCACCTAAAATACAGTAAAATGTTCAAAAAAAGAGAATCATAGGCTGTAGGGAAACGGGAGAGTGGTGAATAAATAGAAAGTATTTTGGTAGTCTACATGTTTATACACATCACTTACCTTGGGCAACATTAGACAGAGGGCAGTAAAGGTGCTTGTCCCTGACTATCGCTTTATCCCAGAGCTTGTTTGGGATGGAGCTTGCACCATTGTCCTCAGACTTGGTTTATTTAACAAGAGTTTATTGAACTCTTAAGTACTGGGGATAAAAATGAATTAATCATCTTTTCTGCCTTTAAAGAACCCAGTTTAATAGAGGAAATGAGCACATGCACAAATAGAGTGTAGTGTGATGGACAGAAGGTACACCTGGCACAAAAGAAAATCAGCTCTACTTCTTGATTTAGGAAACTTAGATGGAGAGGTGAATAAGGCATTAACTTAGCAAAGTGAAGAGGTCATGCTAAGCAAAGGGGCAAAAGTCTCAAGGGTGGTATGTTGAGGAACTGCAGTTACTTTGGTGTAGCTGAGCCATGTTTAATAAAGTGGAAGAGATGATGCTGTAGAGTTAGGAAGGGGCTAGATCACAGAAGACATTGTGCCATGCTTAGGAATATGGCTTCCTGTAGGCAATGAAGGATTAAAAGCCAGGGTATGAAATGGTCAGACCTGCATTTTAGAAAGCTTGCTTCATTTTAGAAGAGCAGATTGCTGTTCACACTGCCAGCAAGCTTCCTGCAGAGCTGCCCAGATTCCCGGTTCCAATGCAAATAGCTGCTTTATATGTAGTATAATCTTAAGACCAGAGGCATTTTAGGTAGAATAGTGCAGAATAGAGTTAATGAAACCTTGACCTTTAAGCAGCAGTAAGGTGTAGTCATTTGTGGGGCTTTTTTCCTCAAGGAATTGGTAAAATATGGTATGCTGTTGATAAATTTAAAAAGAAAAAAAAAAAAAAACATGTTTTACTTACTCAATAGGTTTGCAGTTGAAACTTCTTGATCCCAAAAAGATTCCCAAGGCCTCCATGACAAGTGGTTTGGTTCAGCAGTTCCAGCACGCAGTCCTCCCCTCTGTGACTCCCTTGGCAACCCTCATCTGCACGCTGATTGCCATATTGGTAAGAACTCAACACATGGTGCTCATGTCTTGAGTTTTCTCTGCTTTTCTTTTATGTACCTGCTTGAATTCCAGCTTTCAAGCTTTTCAAACTGTAGGACAAATTCCATAGCTATAACCTTCTTCAGATTGAGATATTTCTCAGCAATTCTTAGAGTAACTTTGAACACTGTAAGGAAGGATTACTAGTAAAAGCCTCTGTAAGGGAGATTCTCTCCCCTAGCTATCAGGCCATCTGTTAACTCTGGTGTGAGGGAAAAAAGAAAAACCCATGGATGAAGGGGCTAAGACCACCCAGTGCAGAAAGAAGAAAATGTTTGTGGCAGAGACATCCAGCTTTGGCCTTTTTTTTGCCCCCAGCCATGATTAAATAATCAAAAATCCAAATGTGTCTCAGCCACATGGATATTTTATATTGCTGATGGTAATGAATTGAGAGGGTCCACAATGGATGTACAAGCATCAGATGAGATTCTAATGAGTCAGCTGCTTTTAGAGGCGTCATTCATAGTTGTTTTTATTTACCAGTGATCCTTCATGATATGATTTTAGTAGAATTCTACATGAACAACTTAATCTGTAATTATACTCAGCTGTTATTTTGGTTTCAAAATAATCCAAGCTTGTAAGCAACGATAAAGAACAATGATGAATCTGCGAAGCATCTCACAACATGGATGGATCTGGGGGGCATTTTGCTGAGTGAAATAAGTCAGTCACAAAAGGACAAATATTGTATGAGACCACTACTGTAAAACCTCATGGAAAGGTTTACACACAGAAAGAAACAATCTTTGATGGTTACAAGGGAGGCGAGGGTGGGGATGGAAAAACACTAAATAGACAATAGATAAGTGGAAGCTTTGGTGAAGGGTAAGACAGTACACAATACTGGGGAAGTCAGCACAACTTGTACAAGGCAAGATCATGGAAGGTTTTTTTTTTTTTTTTTTTTTTTTTTTAGTAGTTGCCCAGTTTAATGGAGAATTATCTAAGATCTGCTGTTTTTCAGAAGATGCAAATTGTATTAACCTGAACAATGTTTCTGTAAAGCCTGTTTAAAATGATACTGAAGTTTTATCTTTGCCTATTGTTTCTAGCCCTCTATTTTCTGTCTTTGGTTTAAACCCCAAGGGCCCAGAGGCTTTCTCCGATGTCTGATTCTTTGTGCCTTGAGCTCCTTCATGTTTGGGTGGCACGTCCATGAAAAAGCCATACTCCTAGCAGTTCTCCCAATGAGGTAAGCAGGTAGCTTAGTCAGACAGCATTACTGTCGTATTTCACAATGACCCTATTGTCTTCCATTTAATCTGTCCTTGCTTGGCACAGTCAGTGGAATTGGCAAAGGCAAAGATGTACAAGAATAGATTTCCCACTAGGACAGCGAAGGGATGCTTAAGTTGGGGTCCTTGGACCCACAGAGGCTCCAAGGTATGCAAAATTGTGTGTATTCTTTGTACATTTTTTGGTAAGAAGAACTGTAGTGATTAAAAATCACAACACCAGCCCCTATCCGTTGCTGGTGGGAATGCAAAATGGTACAGCTGTTGTGGAAAACAGTGTGGTGGTTCCTAAAAAAATGAAAACAGAACTACCATATGACCTAGCAATTCCACTCCTAGGTATATACCCAAAAGACTTGAAAGCAGAGAATCAAAGAGAGACTTGTATACCAGTGTTAATTGCAGCACTATTCATGATAGCCAAAAGGTGAAAACAACCTAAGTGCCCATCAACAGATGAATGTATAAACAAAATGTGCTACATACATACAATGGACTACTACTCAGCCAGCAGGAGAAATGAAGTCTTGATACATGCTACAGTATGGATGGAGCTTGAAGACATTATACTGAGCGAAATAAGCCAATCACAAAAGGACAAACATTGTATGACCTCACTTATATAAAAAGACAAGAAAAGGCAAATGTATAGAGATCAAAGTTTCTTAGTGGTTACCAGGGGCACGAGGGAAGGGGAAAAGGGAGGTTAGCAGTGATAGGAAAATCGCATTGATTAAGGCTGTTGCACAGCCAGTTATTGTAATTGCTGTCAATAAGTTGTATACCTGTAAAAAGTTAATTGGCAAAGGTTGTGTGATAGATATATGTATAATGACAAAAAAAGTAGCTGCTGAGTCTGCTTACGTACAAACAACTCATGAGATTCGGTTCCATGGTTTGGAGATTTAGGGTCATGGTTTCATGGGACATCCCAGTTAATTGGCCTAATAACATGTTTAGTACTTCTGTTCTACCTCCTAGTTCGTTGTGTAGTGCCTGGGGTCTTAAAGCTTGCAAACAGCCATCCAAGGCACAACAATTGGTCTCTACGCGCCTGGAGCAGCAGAGGAGGAAGGAGAATCAGGAATAGGAGGAGGATATGGAAGGTGTAGCTAATTGACTCCATGAACAACTGCCTCCTTTGCCATGACACCAGAAAAACTGGATGGTGCCTGGCTACCATTACAGAACATTTTGATCAAAGATTCCATAGAAGAATCCTGATCAAAAAGGGGAAAATGTAGAACAGAATTTCAAATTTTCATGGACTCCAGACTTTCTGGAGCCATGGAGGGTGGATGAACCTCTGAAACTACTGCCCTGAGATAATCTTTAAACCTTAAACTAAAAATATCCCCTATGTCATTTTAAAACCAAACAATAGTTCAGCTTACCCAATGAAAAAAGATCTGCCTTGAGCATTATACTCTTTCAAGTTCCATCTATATGGGATCACACTGACAACAGCAACTTGAAAGATTAGATAGGAACCTTAGGGGAAAGTGAGCTTATGTTAATGAGGGAGGAACAACTCAGAAAAGGAGGGTGAGAATGGTTGTACAACTTGAAGAATGTAATCAATGTCACTAAATTGTACATGTAGAAATTGTTGAATTGGTGTATGTCTTGCTATGTATATTCTCAACAATGATAGCAAAATAAATAAAATTTAGAAAAATAAAAAAGAAACACACAACCAGGCTATTAGGTCAGGATATTGAGAGGTAGCATGGAATGGAAAAAGCATGAGGTTTGATGCCATCACAGATCACAGTGGTTCCTTGTTAAATGTTGCTAGTTAAAGTAAGGATGGAGTCCCTTCTGGAATAATATCTAACATTTATCTAACTTACAGATTTTCTAGAACTGCTCTTTTTTTTCATTCTTTCATTTGGACCTCATAACAACCTTTAAAATAATAAGTGGATATCATCCCTGTCTTAACGTCTGCAGAAACTGAAACCCAATAGATAGATAAATGGTAATAGAATTAGACTTTTTTCCATAAATCTTGAGAGAAGTTACTTAAGCTCTGAAAGAACAGTAAGCAAATTTGTCAGATCAGTATTTATGGCTTGTCTGGGTTCATTTTGCAACTTGAGAAAAAAAAGTAAAAAGCAGAGCAAATTAAAAACAAATGTTTTTAGTCGAAATTCATGCTGAACACCAAGAGGTACAGGGCACCATCCAGGGGAAGAACTGTAGGGTTAGAAACGAAACTCCTAGCCCTGTTTGCCTGGCTACCACCACTAGGCAGCACCCAATTCCACAAAATCTCTTTCTTTGGAGAAGGAAGTTACTCAAGGAAGCAATGTTCTTTTTTGGATACTCCCCAATTCAGTTTGATACATTTGTCTATCGATTGCTTAAAGTTTCCCACTAAAAAATTAATATACTCAGTTGAATTGGACTTGTAACAAAGATCAGTATGTTATTTTCTGCTTAAGCCAGTTATAGAAGTAATAATGGTTATTCAGGCAATTTGCAAGTGTAAGCTTTAGTTGTTGTTTTAAAGAATTATAAGAATTTTTATTTTTAGCCTTCTGTCTGTGGGAAAAGCAGGAGACGCTTCAATTTTTCTGATTCTGACCACAACAGGACATTATTCCCTCTTCCCTCTGCTCTTCACTGCACCAGGTAAATAGCCTTTTCTTTTTTAGAGATATATTTGAGTGCCTTGACCTTTTAGTCAGAGCCCAGAGATCTATATTATCTGATTCAAATAACCTCAAAATCTCTTGGAAGGAGAGATCCTGTCCATTTTCTTAAATAAAACCTCCAATTTTCCCCTAAACCTCAGTATCTTTAGATTTCACAAAAATGCATAGGTAACTTCAAAAGCATTACTAGGGCTTTATAGCTGTGTCAGTGTGATTATATTATCTTATGCATTATAAACCTTTCTCTTATCCACGAAATTATCATCTGGATTTTTTCTTCTTTTAACAGAACTTCCCATTAAAATCTTACTCATGTTACTATTCACCATCTACAGTATTTCCTCACTGAAGACTCTATTCAGGTAATCCAAAAAGCACATTTAAAATTATGTTTACTTTTCTGAAATGTAGTATAACAACATTACAAAAAAAATTAGCAAATAGAGGGAGAAATTACTCATAATCTCATCACTCTGACACAACAACATAGATTGTGTCTTTAGTTTGGGGGAATATTTGAGGAGAGATTACCTGACTTAAATTAAAATTTTATATGGAACTAAAAAATGGAATGTAAAATATATGCATTATGAATAAAACCAAATAAATACATATGTATGTGGAGAAAACTAAAAGATATTATGTAGACATTCCTGTTATGGAATTATGAGTGCAATTTTTTTCTCTTCTAAACTTTCTGTAATGTTATCTGTATAATTTTTGAAGTTTGCTCATTGTTCATATCTGTGTCCATAAAAACTCATATACCCAATTATATTAAAACTCAACTATATATTGTTTACTGTGGTCTGATTCTGGTATAACAACATCCAGCCCTCTTCCCTCTCCCATATGCAGAGCTAATTCTCTCTGAGTACTTTTAGCGAAGTGACAGCATAGGTAAATGATGACTGGGTAAATTTGGTTGTTGAGATAATGGTTTGTCGTTATCAATTTTTCTAAATGTGAAATTTAAAGCACTCTTAACTCTCTGGCCTTGGCTGTTCTCCCCAGCAAGACAGTGCAGGTGGGGAAGCTTCAGCTAGGAAACGTTTGGTAAACCAGGATGACTCATCTAAAGTCATACTTTTCTCTCCTTTTTTCTTCAGAAAAGAAAAACCTCTTTTTAATTGGATGGAAACTTCCTACCTCCTTGGCCTGGGGCCTCTGGAAGTCTGCTGTGAATTTATATTCCCTTTCACCTCCTGGAAGCTGAAGTACCCCTTCATCCCTTTGTTACTGACCTCAGTGTATTGTGCAGTAGGCATCACATATGCTTGGTTCAAACTGTACATTTCAGTATTAACTGACCCTCTTGTCCTCAAGACAAAGAAGCAATGAATAAAGGAACTGTTTGAATGTATTCCAAGCAATTATTTCATGGGAAATTAATCAGAAGTTGAAGAAAGTTGCTGGTGGCATGAGCCATTCATTTCATTAGGTCTGTCCAGAGGACCATTCTTCCAAATTTGGCCTTGCCCAGTCTAGCAACCTGATTGTCACCATGGTGAGAAGCCACTCGTCCTCCATAAGCAGTGAAATGCATCTGAAACAAATCTTGCCTTCCCCTGTTAAAATTATCTGAGACTATTCAATCTGCTCTGCTTGCTCAAGGCAAACAATGAGTCTGATTAACAGCATAATTATATGTAGCCTGTGGTAACCACTGTCAGATTATAAAGCATAATTAGAAACATGTGCTAAGGGAAATGTAAATAAAATACCATTTTATATTTCTGCACAATAATTTTTGGGTCATTACCAGCTCCTACATTTCCTATTGGCGTCCTCACAAGCAAGTGGTATTCTGTTCCCATTCTGTACACCTTGTTCCCAGAGATTTTTTTTCATTGAAATTATACAATGACAACACTCAAAAAGCCAGGGAGGGGTATTTAATGAACTGGTTTGGCCAGGCAGCAGAAACTACAAATTATAGCTACACTCATATTGAGTTAGGGACATCTTGTACAATTCATTTGTTCTAACAGCAAGCACTGCAATTTTGTTAGTCTACCACTTTCTAGACCTTTGCTAATGACTTCAAAACCAAGTGAAGTAACTGAAGTGGTTTCTGCAGTCTTGTCTCGTCTTCTCCCTTCCATAAGAGTACTTCATGCATACTTTTTGTCCGGGACTCCAGTTTGCCTAATATCTGCTCCCACTGTGCCAGTGATCTACTTCTACTATTAACAGCTGTTATACTTGATTGTGTTTATCTGTTTTCCCCAGAAGACTTTGAAATTCCAGAGCTGAGACCCTACTTGTCTTGATAGTCCCAGTGTTTGGCACAGTTGAATGCATGAAGCACACTGCACTGGCCATAATTAAAATCTAAATGTTTCAAGCATTAGCACAAGCGACCCAGTGTAGTTCTTTACATCTTTACCAATCAGTGTACAATCCAAAAAACAAAATAGAAGTTAGAAGGTGAATTTGGATGCATCTCAACAAGACCAAACTAATTATGCTTCGTAGGTTGTCCTTGTGAAAGTGATACGATGTCAGAGCTGGAGGAGCTCATCTAGTGCAGAGATTTTCAGAATGTTCTGCAGAGCCCAGGGCATTCTTCAGAGTTGCTGCAGAGGCTCTGGGCCCTCTCCCATCTTCTGCCAAAGTAAATATGCTGTGATTTGTGTCATATATTAGTTTTTATTAGACTTAAATGTTCAAAATCCAAATACAGGCTTAAGACCTCTGATCAGTATACCTTGTGTTCACGTTTTTTAACTTTGCAGATGTGGGTAGTTTTTAACAACAAATTTACACAAATTTACTTACTAAGTAAATAAAAGTGCTGCCTCAAAATGTTTTAAAATCTAAAATTAAGCAAAGCCTAGAAGAACAAGCTAAGATTACTGTGATGGTTAAGGTTATGTGTCAGCTTGTCCAGGCCATGATTCTCAGTGGTTTGGCAGTTATGATGTAGCTTGGTAGCTGTGTAATAATGTAATCACCCCCATGATGAGATCTGTTATGAGCAGCTAGTCAGTTGAAAGGGAGTTTCCTTGGGGGGTGTGGCCTGCATTCAATATATGTGGACTTCCTGGCAAAGCTTGTGGGCTTTTGCTCACTCTGGATCCTGCAGCTGGCTCCTGTTCATCTGACCTCTGATTCTTGGGACTTGAGCTAGCAGCTTACCTGCCAGTCTTGGAGTTCATCAGCCTCCACAGCCTGTGAGCCAGAGGCCTGCTGTCTGACCTGCCAATCTTAGATTTGCCAGCCCCTACAGCTACATAAGTCAGGAGAAGCCTCCAGCCTGACCCACAGACTTGGAACTTTCCAGCTGCTACAACCGTGTGAGCCATTTCCTTTATACACACACATGCACACATATATATATATATGTACACATTTCACTGGTTTTGCTTTTCTAGGGAACCCAGTGTAAGACAATTACTATCAAATTTTAAACAAGATATAAACAACTCATTTCTCATCTGCTGTCTAATTTATATGCATTACACCAAAATATAACAAGATAAAGGTAGAGGGATAGAGCCAGAAATGGGAAGGAAATATTAAAAAGATGCACTGTCTTTGCAGCCCCATGCTGGTATAGTTTCCCTGGTTAATGACCAACCCAAACCAAACCCATTGCTGTCAAGTCAATTCCAACTCATAGTGACCCTATAGTGCAGAGTGGAGCACCTGGTGGATTCAAACTGCCGACCTTTTGGTTAGCAGCCATAGCACTTAACCACTACACCACCAGGGTCTTCCTGGTTAATGACATCCACTTGGAAATAACTCTGGTGAAGGAAGCATTTCCGTATCAGAAGAATTATTCCCTATGCACAATCTGTGCAGCTTCTGTTACAGTTAATGAGAGGAAAAACATTACAACAAAATACAACTTTTGAAAAAGATATTTTGCTCTTCAGTAGTTTGATGAAATTACATTTCCAGCATGAATGTGGTAAGAAAATCTTTTGACCCATCTACGCCTTTTTTGGTGATCTAAAGAGGACGAGCTACTGTCCTGAGATTAGAACAAGTTAATAACCCTCAAAAACTTGAATCAGTACAGTCATTATTTTCTCACAATGAAGCCCCATATTCAACATCCCCATTTTTTTAAATAATTTATTTTTGTTGTTGAGAATATACCCAGCAGATATACCAGTTTAGCAATTTCTACATGTACAATTCAATGATGTTGATTATACATTCTTCAAGTTGTGCAACCATTCTCACCCCCCTTTTCCAAGTTGCTCCTCCATCATTAACATAAACTCACTGTCCCCTGAGTTTCCTATCTAATCTTTTGAGTTGCTGTTGTCAGTTTGCTCCCATAGAGATCTTGAAAGAGCACAATGCTTAAGGCAGACATTCTTTGATTGCTTTAAAGAAGACTTCAGGGGATATTTTTGGTTTAAGGTTTAAAGATTATTTCAGGGCAGTAGTTTCAGGGGTTCATCCAGCCTCCATGTCTCCAGAAATTCTGGAGTCCATGAAAATTTTAAATTCAGTTCTACATTTTCCCCCTTTTGATCAGAATTCTTCTATAGAATCTTTAATCAAAATCAACATCCCCATTTTATAGAAAGGTCAGTAAAGGTACTAATTTTTTTCAGACTAAAGTATCAGAAATAAAAACAGTATACTTAATCTTGTGCATATGAAAAGTGCAGGACCTATAATATACCTATGTACAATGCTCTGAAGAAAATGAGACTGCTTAGAATTATAAGAATCACAGAATCTTAAAAAGGCTCCCAGAAGAACACTCAGGGCACATTTACTTTTTACAGTTTCCTTGACGGAGAACAGACTGCTGATTAAGCAGTATGGTGTGTTCACTACCTCATCAAGCAGCCCCTTCACATGGGCAGCTGTTTGTTAGGGCTTTCTTAGTGCTGAATTAATGCTCATCTTCCTCTGAATTTCACCTATTAGTCTCTAGAGCAAAACAGAATAAGATCCTCCTCCCATTTTACATGACAGCTCTTTAAGTAATACACAAAGTGCTTACTATGTGCCAAGTTCTGTGCTAGGCATTACCTCATTTAATCCTTTCTAAAAGTCTGCAGATCAGGTTCACTTATTATTCCTTAGAAAAACATGTAATGAATGCCTATTGAATGTTATGCACTGTGCTAGGTGCTATATAATCAAAAGGTAAACAAGAAAGATACATGCCTGTCCTCAAAGGACTTACATTCTAGTGACTAGAAAGTAGTAAGAGCCAGGAAGAGTGGTACAAGTTGAAGACTTAGACAGATCCCAGGTCATGCATGGTCTTTTAGGCCATAGTAAGGAATTAGAATTTATTCTAAGTGAAATGGGAACAAAAGGGTTTTGAATTTTCTGAGTTAGACTTTTTGACAAATAATACACATGGTGCAAAATTCAGAAAGTTTCAAACCACTGAGATCCCCTACCAAGAGGCAATCATTGTGGCCACTTTCTTGTATATCATTCCAGAGATATCCTATGCATTAAAAAGAACACCGTCAAGTTGATTCCAACTCATAGTGACCCTATAGGACAGAGTAGAACTGCTCCATAGGATTTCCAAGGAGTGGCTGGTGATTCAAACTGCCAGTCTTTTGGTTAGCAGCCAAGTGCTTAACCACTGCACCACCAGGGCTCCAATTCTATGCATAGACAACCATTTATATATACACAAATGGTAACATTTTGCACACTGCTGATCATGAGTTTTTTAGTATATTTTGGAGTTTATATCAGTACATATAAAACTGCATCGTTCTTTTAATAGCTGTGTAAGTTATCTATTGTTATGTGACAAACTTTGTAGTTTAAAACAATGCATAATTATTATCTCACAATTTCTATACATCAGGAGTCCAGGTTCAGCTTACCTGGGTCTTCTGTTTAAGATCTCTCACAAGGCTGCAATCAAGGTGTCACCTGGAGCTGTGGTCTCATCTCAAGGCTCAGCTAGGGAAGGACCTGCTTCCAAGTTCCTGTGATTGTTGGCAGAATTCAGTTCTGTATGAGTTGAAGGACTGAGAGCTTCAGTTTCTTTCTGACTGTTGGGTGGAGGCCATCCTCAATTCCTTGCCATGTGGACTTCTCCATAGAGCAGCTTACGACACAGCTGCTGGCCTCATCAAAGCCAGCAAGGGGGAGAGTCTGATAGCAAGGTAGACGTTAAAATCTTATGTAATATAATTACAGAAGTGACATCCTGTCATCTGTATTGCATTCTATTGGTTAGAAGCAATTCACAGATAGAGGGGTGGTATTAAAGAGTTTTGTTTTGGAAATTGTAAAATTTTTAAAAGAAAATTTAGAACCTTGGTTTAAAAACACAAAAAGTGCCAAAAAAAAACAAAGATTAGATTGATAAATTTTACTACATCAGAATTTTAACTTTTATGTACTAGAAGACAAAATTAAATGCCAAACAACAGATTGGGGAGAGTATTTTGCAGCACATATAACAAAGGATTCATATTACCACACAAAATAAATTCTTAGAAATCATTAAGAAAAAAAGACAACCCTAGAAAAAATAAGCAAAGTATAGGACTAGCCAGTCAACAGAAGGAAACCCAAATGGCAAATAACTATATAGAGACTAATTTTAATGGGATAATAGAGAAATGCAAATTAAAACAACAATGAAATACCATTTTTCAGCATCAGATTGGCAAAAATTAAAGTCTGACAAAAAATACTACTTTTACATATATTGAAAATGGGAGAGTGGAAAGTGGATCAGTCTGTTTAGAAAGCAATTTGATGATGATTTGTAAAATTGAAAATCTATATATTCTGTAACTCAGCATTTCCAGTTCTAAGTGCATACTCTAGAAAAACTCTTAGACATGTACTTGAGGTAATATGCACAGAAGGGGTAAAATTTTAAAATCATACCCCCCAGAAAGCCCCATGTTTTATATTGCTAATGAGTTTGTCTATAAATGTAAATATTAAAAATAGACACTAAGTGCATATGGAATTTATGATAGTGGTTACCTCTAGCGAGGAAACAAGGAGAATGGACCTGGGAGTTGAGGTCAAGGAGAGTTTTAGCTCTGTATTATTTTTTTTATATATTTTTAAAGGAGAATATTATATACAAATGGGGTGTGTGTGTGTGTGTTTCAAGTATATACATCAGCGGAATAAAAACTTGAAGCAAATACAGCAGGTTACAGTTAATCTTAGGTGTAAATATGGGTTTCTGTTATATTCCTTATACTTTTTAATATTGCTTAATTTTCTCAGTGTGAAAAGGAGTCTTATCTTGGACCTATTTAATTTGAGATATTTGTGAGATATCCTGGTGAAGATGTCAAGGAGATGATTAGATATACCTCTTGAGCTCACTAGAGAGTTTGGGCTAGAGTTATAAATGTTGTAGTCATCAGTATATACCTGATAAAGCCAAGGGAGGAGACAGTAAAGAGAAGAGAGCCCAGGACAAATCTAAGGAATTCTAACATTTGCAGGCTGAGAAGAGAAACTGATAAAGAGAAGGCAAAAGAGAAAAATTAGGAGTGTGTAGTGCCCTGGGTGCTGAGGGGAGAGAGTGTTAACTGAAGGAAAGAAAGGACAACTGTGTCAGATGCTACTGAGATGCTGAGTAAAATGGGTATCATTGGATGTGGAGGTCACTGGTGTTCTCTATAAGGACAGTTTGAGAGTGAGAACAGAAAGACATTGTAATGGGTGAACAAGATTTCCTAGTCAAGGCTCAAAAAGCACAATTCATAAAGGAAAAAATTAGATAAATCTGAGTACATAAAAATAGTAGATTTCATGAGTGTTGAGAATATGTATGGAATTCCTACAAATCAGCAAGGAAAAAAGATGATACAAAGAAAAATGGGCAAAAGATGCATAGTCAATTCATTCACGGAGGAGGAAACTGGAATGGTCAATACATATGAAAAGATACTCAACTACACTAGTAATCAAGGAAAGGAAAATTGAAAACAATAATGAAGAAGATACTTTCCACCAATGGATTGGCAAAAATCAAGTTTGACAATGGCAAGGGTAATGGATGAATAAAATGTGACATATTTGTGTGATGCAATATCATACAGTAGTCCACAGGAATGAACTAGATCTTATCATGATGGATAAATCTCAAAAACATTATATGGAGTGATAAAAGCAAGAGAAAAACAGAAACAATAAATCATACTATTTAGGTAAAAAAATTTTAAGGCATACCTAACAATACTAAATATATGTAAAATAGAAAAAAATGGACTGGAAGTATACACACCAAACTCATGATAGTGGTTGTCTTGGGGAAGGGGGGAAAGGAGATTTTAGCTGATCAGTAGTACTTTACCTCGTTTTTAAAATGTTTAGAAAAATATGACAAAATGTTAGTTTTTGTTCATTCCGGGTGGTACAGGATGAGTATTATATTGTTCTTTGTATTTTTCTGTATTTTTGTAAGCTTCTTTAATAATAATGTCCCCAAATTGGTTCCAGAAGAATGTGGGGAAAGGTTTACTGTGGAGAAGTTTGCTGGAGAGTGGTGTGCTAGGCAAGTGTTCTGGAGACCCTTACATATGGAGTCCCTGGCTGATCCAAATGGTCATACCGCTAACCAGCTAACCTAAAGATTGCACCCAGAGGCACCTCAGAAGAAAGGCCTGGTGGTCTACTTCTGAAAAATCAGTCATCAAAAACCCTGTGGAAATAACCTAAATACCCATCAACAGATAAATGGATAAACAAAATATGGTACATACCTACAATGGAATACTACTCAGCCAGTAGGAGAAATGAAGTCTTGATGTATGCTACAGTATGGATGGAAATTGAAGACATTATGCTGAGTGAAATAAGTCAATTGCAAAAGGACAAATATTTATGACCTTACTTATACAAAAAAACAAGAAATGGTGAATGTATAGAGATCAAAGTTTCTTAGTGTTTACCAGGGGTGGGAGGGAGGGAGAAATGGGGGGATTATTGCTTTGAAGTATGGAGTTTTGGTTTACGGTGATGGAAAAATTGCATTGACTAAGGGTAGGGTTACACACCGATTACTGTAAGTGCTGTCATAAGATGTACACCTATAAAAAGTTGAATTGGCAAAAGTGTGATAGCTATATTCACAAACAACGACAAAAAAAAAAAAAAAAGGAGCTGCTGAGGCTGCTTACGGACAACCAGACACCTCACTGGATTTGGTTCCTTGGTTTGGAGGTTTAGGGTCATAGTTTCATGGGACATCCCAGTTAATTAAACATGTTAAGTTCTACCTCCTAGTTTGTTGCGTAGTGCCTGAGGTCTTAAAAGCTTGCAAGTGGCTATCCAAGGCACAATTGGTCTCTATGTTCCTGGAGCAACTGAGGAAGAAGGAGAATCAGTAATAGGAAGAAGATATGGAAGGTGGGGCTAATTTCCTCCATGAACAACTGCCTCCTTTGCCATGAGACCAGGAGAACTGGACTGTGCCTGGCTACCATTACTAATCATTTGGATCAAAGATTCCATAGAAGAATCCTGATCAAAAGGGAGAAAATGCAGAACAGAATTTAAAATTTTCATGGAATCCAGATTTTCTGGATCCAGGGAGGCTGAATGAACCCCTGAAACTAATGCCCTGAGATAATCTTTAAATCCTAAACCAAAAATATCCCCTAAAGACTCTTAAAACCAAACAATAGTTTAGCTTAACTAGTAAAAAAGTCTGCCTTGAGCATTATGCTCTTTTAAGAACTATCCATATGGGATCAAATTGACAACAGCAGTTCAAAAGATTAGATAGGAACCTTAGGGGGCAGTGAGTTTATGTTAACGGGGGAGGAACAACTCAGAAAAGGAGGGTGAGAATGGTTGCACAACTCAAAGAAGGTAATCAATGTCACTAAATTGTACATGTAGAAACTGTTGATTTGGTGTGTGTTTTGCTGTGTATATTCTCAACGACATTTGCTGCCTTCCAAAATAAAGAAAATTAAAAAAAGAAACCCCTATGGAGAATGGTTCGACTGTCACCATGAGTTGGAGTCCACACAGATGGCAGCTGGTTACACAGGACTGGGTTCTTTGTAGAAGCTGAGCCTTGGCGGCTTCGTTCAATACATACAAGCCCTTCATCATGTTTTATCAGAATCTTTGTAAACATCTAAATATTTAAGTATTTGGCTAATAATTTATCTGGTATTCAGATTACATAATCCTACTGTGGGACATTTTTTGGAGTTTTAATTATTTTGGTATCATTTTACAAGAAATTGTGGTTAAAAGAAAACTTTGTGAAAAAAGCTTTTTCACAGTGTATATAATTTCCATAGGACAGGTTCCTATACATGTAATTACTGGGTCAAAGGATGTGAACATTTGAAACATTTGCTGCCTTCCAGGAAACTATTCCAATATACACTCCTTTGGAAAATCCTAGCTTGAAATATTACAGATCAGGGAGTGCTTTTTATAGGCATAAAATGTCCATCCTTTACTCACTTTTAACTCGTACTTAATTATTAATTCTTCCACTTCCGGATGTATGTGCCTTTGCCCTAACCTCTGGTTTCATCAGCATTCACCTAAATAAAATTTTGATCCCACTAATGAGTGGACACGACAGGAAGACTTTCTAAAGACAGAGCTGTTCAAAGATGGAAACTCCTCAGGACTAGAGATGGGTTAACAGAAACTGGACAATTACTTGGCAGAATGTTATAGATTCGTTTTTTCTTTCATTCCTCAAACCACTGGGGAGTATTTCCTCTCTCAGCCCTGTGAAAGGACTTAAAGGCCCCAGGACCCTGCCACCCACCCCAAATTGCGAGAAGTGACTAAGTGATCCGGTCCACGGTTTTCCAAATTCTTTGTTGCTGGCCAGAGTCCAACCTTAATTTTACATTTTGGAGGGTGTGCTTGTGCGAAGGAACGACTGGAAACCCAGAAAATGAAGCTTTTATGGGATTTCAGTTGTTAGTTTGTCAAAACTATCCTTGTCCTCTTGTGGGTGTTGGGTGTAAAGATGAATCTTTGTTATATGGACATTAGGCGGCGGGGGAAGGGCAGGCAATTCAGGGTAGGAGAGACTGGGAGAAAAAAATCATTGTCTCCTAGTCTTCACTCAGTTTGGATTGTTTAATGTACTTTTCGATCCCGTAATACCAGTCTTCGGACCACCCATTCCCACCAGCAGGACTATGCCGGCGGGCGGACGCGCGGGCAGGTGAGTAGGGTAGGCAATGTAGTAGCCGGAACCTCGCAAGCGGAGTTCCGGCTGTAGCGCAGGCGGGGAAAGGTTTGGGCGCTGCACGGCCCTGCGCCGTGCCCTTCATCCCGGTGCTCGGAGGAGAAAACTTGTGGGTTAGGCCCCGGAGTTGGTCGTGGTGGTTTTCCTTGTAGTTGGCTGTCTGAGGCCAGGCCTCCAGTGGAAACGGCGTCACCATGATGACCGGACGGCCGGGCCGAGTGCCCTTACAGTTTCTGCCGAACGAGGCCCGGAGCCTACCCCCGCCCAAGCTGACCGACCCGCGGCTCGTCTTCTGTGGCTTCTTGGGCTACTGCGCCGGCCTGGTTGATAACGCGATCCGCCGCAGGCCGGTGGTGGCGGCGGGTGAGGGCTGCGCGGGCGGAGTCGGCGGGGAGAGGAGGGGTTCGCAGGGCTAAGGACTGCCTCTGTCTCCGTTTTTCCGGGGTCTTTTCACCTAACTGGCACCGCCTCGCCTTCCGGGGACGTTTGCCCCGCGTTAGCCCTTCTGAATCGGTCAGGGCCATAGTGTCATTTGCACTTCAGAAAAACTGGGGTGTAGCTAAGCAGGGTCATACCCACGACCCCACAGAGAGTCTAAGGATCCGGGACTGGATCCTCTGCTCCCTTCTCAGTTTTGCTAAGCGCTGTGGTGTGTGCAATGATGAGCATTCACTCCTTGCCATGCATTTCTGACACTTCGTGCGTTGTAGCATTTAATCCTCAAATACCTTATGGGGGAGGTATTATCCATAAAAGAGAAAACTAAGCCTTAGAGGTTAAAGCAGTTTGCTCAAGGTCATATGGTTAGTAAGTAGCGGAGCCTGTTTTAGACCTCTCACTATGAGTCGGGATGGACTTGATGGCAACAGGTTTGGGTTTTTTTGTTGTTGTTTTGTTTTGTTTTTGATATGTTGGTAACCAGGGCTTCTCAAACAGTATGCATAGGAATAACCTGGATTTTGTTAAAATGAGGATTCTGATTCAGTAGGTCCGTGGAGGGGCCTGATATTCCGGGTTGCTCGCAAGCTCCCAGATACTACTGATGCTGCTGGTCTGGGAATGGCACTTTGAGTAGAGAGGCTCTAAACTTCTGAGGTGTATTGCCTAGTAGTATGTAATCCTCATAATAACTGACAGAATAGCTGTGCTGAGGACTGGATTTCCAAGAGGAGGACGGGAGAGGTGTCTTTGAACGTAGCTTTGGTATATTAGGAGGATAGTGAGAGCCTCCAGTGGAAACAAATGGAGGAGGTAAAGCCAAAACCCATTGCCACTGAGCAGATTTCGACTCAGTGACCCTATAGGACAGAGTAGAACTGCCCTGCCCGATAGGGTTTCCAGAGCTGTAAATCTTTACGGAAGCAGACTGCCACATCTCTCTCCTGCAGAGTGGCTGGTGGGTTCAAACTGCTTTCCTTTCAGTTAGCAGCTGAGCACCTAACCACTATGCCACCAGGGCTCCTTGGAGGAGGTAACCGAAATAACCCACTGCCCTCAAGTAGATTCTGACTCATAGTGACCCTATAGGACAGAATAGAACTGCCCCATAGTGTTTCCAAGGCTGTGAATCTTTATGGAAGCAGACTGTCACATCTCTCTCCCATGGAGTGGGTGGTGGGTTCGAACTGCTAACCTTTTGGTTAGCAGCTGAGCACTTTAACCAGTGCGCCACAGAGGAGATAGAGACCTCTGTAAATGGGGCCAGTTTGACGATTGAGTGTGCTCTAGGCAGGCAGATTTTGAAAGCTCGGGAGTACAATTATCAGACTTAGTTTTAAAAGGTCAACTTTATCAGCAATGTAAACATGCATTGGAGCCAAGGAGCCCAGTTGGAAGGTCCCAACTGGGTGGTGCAAATCGTTTGCACTCAACTACCAATCTAAAGGATGGTGGTTCAAACCTACCCATCAGCACCGAAGAAGAAAGATATAAGCATCTGCTTCTGTAAAGATTACAGCCAAGAAAACCCTATGGAGCAGTTCTACTCTGTAACACATGGGGTTGCCATGAGTTGGAATTGACTTGAAAGCAGTGGGTATGGGTAGCTCAGTTGGAAGAAAGCTAATACAATGGTTAGGCAACCAGGAATCACCCCACATGTGCCTTTTTAGCCTTCTAGCTGCATGTCATGGCTGGAGATTGGCTCCAGCCCACCAAATACCAGCACTTCCAGTGCTCAAATAGTACTGAAATCCCGTCTCCCTTGGACATGGCCCCTCACTACAGAAAGGAATGATCTTTTTCCATTTCTGCCTTTAAGGATATGGGATTTCTCCCTTTTGATCGTATTCCACATTTCCCCAAGCCTATTGCTTGGTATGGAAACCCTGCTAATCAAAAGGTTTGAATCCACCAGGCGCTCCTTGAAAACTCTAGTTCTACCCTGTCCTATAGGGTCGCTATGAGTCAGAATTGACTTGACGGCAATGGGTGTGTGTTGTGTATCGCTTGGTATAATGAAAAGACCCCCACTTTGGAACTAAGTGTCCCTGCTTCACTGCTTGCAGCTATGTCACCTTGGACCAGTTGGTCAAGCCTCTCCTAGCCAGAGTTTCCGCATTTATAAAATGAGACTAATTAACCTTTACATATTTGTTGTGAGAATTAAGCAAGATTCTATAGGTAAAGTGCCTGACACAGAGAAAATGCTCAACAGAGTTCCCTTTTCTTAGCTGTTCTCATGCAAACATTTACCACATATTTGTTTGTTCAACATTTACTTAGCTCTTTGTCTGTGCCAGGTGCTGTGTTACATGATACAGATGGGAGGGAGGCTGTTCCAGAGAAGGACTGAAACATGACATGCGTACCGCTTAATCTTGCCTCATTGTTATCAAACTCATATTATTTTGCAGGTTTTTTTTATGGTTCTGGAAAACAGAAGAGTATAGTGGTTAAGAGCACTTTAGGGTTTAACACATCTCCACTTTACTAGCTTTTGATCTGGGGAAATGACCTACTGCTGTGAACTTGTTTCCTCATCCTTAAAATGGGGATAATCCGTACCTCTGTGTGGCTCTGAGGGCTGATTGAGATGATGTATGTAAAGCAGTTAGCATAGGGCTAGGGGTCAGGATTCCTGAGTTCCTTGGACTTCCCTAAGTTGCTTTGGAAAGTTTAGGTCTTGAGGGTTTTATTGAAATGATTATCGTCAGCAGCATTTATTGAATGTATGTTGGGCTTGTTTAGCTCAGTTTCTGGCATATAGTACTCAGTAAATGTTCATTGAATGAATGAGCACATACAGACCCTCCAGAGGTTTACAGAGCAAGTGGCCATATTCATTAAAAAAGACAAATTGTGATACAAGTTTATGCACTTAAGGTTACAGGTATGACATTATAAATGATGTTTCTAAGAGCTGGAGGAGTAGGGAAGGAGAGAGCTGTAGTGGACTTTCAAACTACGGCCCTGGAGAGTACCTGTGTATTCAGTGGGTAGGATTGGGATATTCTGTCAGTGAAATCAAATTGTGCAGATCTTTTTCAAGTTATCAGAAAATATAATTTTTTTCTTCCATCACCTGTTTTTAAACGCTTGTTGCTGGTTATCACTTACCTACCCAAATTTAGAGTTAGTTGGTATCTAAGTATAGTTAGTCCACAAAATTAAATATTTATTGATTTCTAGTTCATGTATCAGTATTTTACGATGTTCTGCAAAGAGCATGATAGCTTCCAGGTTTAGATTCACAGAGTAAAGGAAAGAAGGGGGAAATGATTGTGGAGGGGGTTGTGCATGTGGTGGGGGGAAAACCACCACTTAGAGAGAGAGGAGAGCTTAGGGAAATGGGGACTTAGGAAGAGGCCAAGCCATGCCTTTAGAGCTGGGACTTGGACATTAGCACCTAAAATATTTATAGAGTCTTTGTCTGTGAGGGATACAGGTAAGCATGGAGAGTCTGGGTGTTTGTGTAGCCCTGTGGCACCTGGGAGAACTCAGCATGCTCCGGTTCACTATATTGCAGGTGGCCCATTAGGGGAAGCAGTGACTGTTTGGAGTGAGGGAGGATGCAAAAGAGCCTGGGCCCAGCCTACCCCCAGACTTAGGAATATTTTACGTTTTTATTATTTTACATATTTTTCAAAACACTTTTACACACCTTTTCTTTTTGTTTATATAATACCACTACTGTGAGAAAGATAGGTTAGATATTGTCTATTTCAGTGGTAGTAAATTGACTTGCCCAAGGTCATTCACTCATTTATTAAATATTTACTAAGTGCTGGTATTCAAAGATGTATGAAACATTGGCCTGGCCTGGTAGTAGAGACAGAAGTAAATTATTACAGCAACTTAAGTATTAGTAGAGATGAGTTCACCCTTTTAACTCTAGGAAAGTTCTGGAAAGACTTCTTAGAGGAAGTGATGTCTGAGTTGAGTCCTGAAGGATGAAGAGGTCACTAGGCAGAGAAATAACCAGTGATGGTAGATAGAAGCATCAATAGCATGGTTTGTGTGGGGAGATAGAACTAATTCAGTGTTGCTGGAGCATAGTGTGCATATCAGGGAGTGTCAGAAGATAAAGGTGGAAGTCAGCTCATGAAGGGCCGTGTAGGTCATATTAAGGAGTTTAGACTACTACTGGGCATAATCGAAGGATGGAAGAGACCAACAAGATAGGTTTGCATTTTAGTAAGATTTCTCTTCTGACAGGATAAAAGCTGGAATTAGAGTGGAGTGGAAAATGAGATGAGAAGGAGGCTAGTTAGCTCAAATGAGAGATACATTCCCTGCACTGAGGAAAGGAAATATCGACAAAGTAGAATTGACAGGACTCAATGACTAGATGTCATGAAAGAGGATAGAAGAAAGGATGATTGTAATGTGGGCTCCTGGGTAAGCTGTCCTGCCATTCTTTGAGATAGGAGAACTACGTATGAACAGGAAGGAAATGGGTTCCATTCGGGATGTTCAGTGGACAAATCTGCCAAACATTTGGACAGGTGTATTATTCAGCATGGGTGGACATAAACTGCTTAGTCATCAGCACATGGGTGGTAGATAAAACTATAGAAATAAATGAGCTCTCCAAAGGCATGTGTGAGGGATAAGAAGAGAAAAAGGTTGGAATTCTAGAGCATGGCCAGATAACCAAACCAGCAGTTAACGTTTTGCAAAAAATGTCTCCATATATAAAATTCACACCTGTGGATCTCTCCTTTAGACTTTAAATTTAGCTTTCCCTGGATTGTGTGATTTAATCTTCCCTGGTGTCTGATTATTTTTAAAATAATATTTTTGAATAGATAATACATGCAAATAATACAAAATTCAGAATGTACAAAAGAGAATACAGTAAAGAGATAAATTTGTAGTTTAGCTTACTGTTTTAGTAAACAATAGATTCGCAAATATAAATCAAGATATGAAAACAAACCAAATTGCTTTTAGACTGTTTGTAGAGGACTTTACCTCTATCCCGTCACTTAGTTTAGGTCTAAAGTTAATTTATTGAAAAAAAATTTTTTTTCAGTTCTTAGTCCAGCATTCAGGATTTTGTACTTATCTACCTTTTATCATGCAGAATTTTATAAAGCCTGAATAAAAATATCTTGGAATCTATTGATAGTTGTGTTTGTAGACTGAGTGTAACTTTTCATAAGGGCCAGCCTTCTTTAGGAGGAGGTTGGATATCTGAAGGTCAAGGCTGTTTTTTAAGACATTGCCATATAGAAAAGCTTTATTTATTTATTTATTTTAAGAATGTTGGAAGATCCATAATAATAAATTGTATATCTGAAATGTAAAAATATAATTCTTAATACACATTAACTGATTTTTGCTTTCTTTGGGATTTGTCATTTGAATTTCAGGTTTGCATCGCCAGCTTCTATATGTTACTTCCTTTTTTTTTGTTGGGTATTATCTTTTAAAACGTCAAGACTACATATATGCTGTGAGGGACCATGATATGTTTGGATATATAAAATCACATCAGGAGGATTTTCCTGAAAAAGGTATTTTCATGTTAATTGTAGAAAATCTTTCTTACTCTGTACTATTCTCCCTGGTTAATATTATCAGGGTCTGTGGCTTCAAGTACCTTCCGTATTCTGAGAACACACACATCTTTGTCTATAGACCAGAATTTTCTTGAACTCATAATCCAGTTTTCTGTCTGAGGACCTCCGTGTCTCTCAGTGACAGCAAACAAACTTCTTGCCCCTTCTGCCTTCCCAAACCTCCTGCTCCTTTGTGTGCTTCCTCAGTGAGTGGCACTTCTGTCCACCTGGTACTCAAGCCAGAAGCCTGAGACTCATCTTCAGTCTTTCTCTTTCACGTCCTTGTAGTCATCGTGTCTTAAATGTTTCTAAACTTTGTACTCCCTTTTTTTCCCCAGTGCTACTATCCTAGCCAGGACCTAATAATCTCTTGCTTGGACTGTTGCACTTGCCTCCAGCCTACCTTTGCCTTCACTCTTACTTTTACTGAAAGCAAATCTGATTACGTCTCTCTGCTTAAAATTGCAAAAAAAGAAAAGAAAATATTGCCTCTGTAATAAAAGCCATACTCCTTAGGATGACTTATTTCCTCAGGATAACCTAATTGCCTGTCCTCTGGTAGAAACACTCTACCCTTCTCTTTAACCCATTATGTACACATATCTGTGTCCCTCACTGGACTGTAGCTTCATCTTTGTTTCCCCAGCCTCTGGCAGAGATCCTACACATAGTAGGCCCTTAATAAATAATAGCTGACCTGACCTACACAGAACCCTGCATGACAGGACCCTGCCTGGCTCTCCAGCATTATCTCCCATCACTCTATTCCTGCCTTGTGAAATGCTTTGTCCTGAGCCTGTCCCGTATCATTTTGTACATGCGGTGCCCTCTTTCTGATACGTTCTTCCTCCTCTTGCCCCTATTCCGACCCTGTCCACCTAGCAAATTCTCACTCAAGATTCATCATCTCAGTGAAGCCTTCATGCAGCTATAGACAGGAACTCCCTCAGCATGCTCTACTTATCGTCTGTGAATGTAATTGTAATTAATTGTTTTCTTGTCTCTATTTTACATACATGCACATAACCACAGACGTGCACATATGTCAGCTCTTTGTAGGCTGGGAGCTTAACTTCATAGGATATTCATTTTTTATCTTTCCAGGGCCTACACAGTGTTTGGCACACAGATCCTTATTAAATGATTGAATGAATGAGTATAGGAAAAATTTGAACTTATATAAAAAGATTTTCCTATCCATGTGAATGTGTAATCTAAAACATTTAAATTTTATTAAACTGAATAATCACTAAGGTCCTGTATAACTCTAAAATTTTATTACTCTATTTGATGTTCCCATGGCCTTCAATGATGTCTGTGATGTCAGGGAATGGGGAATACTCAGAACCGTTGGTTGTTAGAGCTGGAAGGAATCTTGGAAATATTGATTTCTAAGATGAGACTCAGTGACTGATTCAGTCTTCAGTCCCAGACCTCCTGGCTCTTTGCCTAGAGATACTTCCACTAGGACTAGGTCCCTCTGTCTGCAGGAGTGCGCCTTACCACACGGGCTCATTCTGTCTGTGAGCAGCAGATTACCAGCAGGTATGCCAAAAGCCACATGCCCTGGCAGCAGGGACATGGAGAGCTTGACCACCTCAGCTCCTTTCCCCTCCTAGCTGACCTCTGCCTCACCTTATTCATTCTGTTCATTCTGTTCATCACCCCTTCAGTCAGTATACCTGTGGCAGCACCTTGCCCCTCCTGGCAGCTATCTGGATGTCACCACAGATTCCTCCAAAGTTACTCTTTGTTTAGTGAAACAAATGTCTCCGTGATTACCAAGCCATGGTTGAAGTCCAGAAAATAGGGAAATTCTTGGGAGCTTCTAGCCATAAGAATATTGAATGTTAATTTTTCTTTAGGAAATACAATTTTTTTTAAACGTAAGTTAAATAAGTCTTACTGTTGTGATCTTTCTCCTTATAGATAAGAAAACTTATGCTGAAATTCTTGAAGAATTCCATCCAGTGCGTTGAAGTCTCCAGAATGCTCCAGTTTCGCTGAACCTGTTATTTCTGAATTCTACAGAACATGTTTTCATGATGTAAAGTTTTCGTTAATCTGTATGTTAACACCTTGTAATTAAAATGGTCATTGTGAGTGCTCTGACTTTCTGTCATAAGAAAAATAGTTCATCAGAGGATGATCAGTTGTCATTCACCCAGTTTTAAGAAGACATCTAACAGATTTAAAAATGGAGTTTAGTTGTAGCTTAGAGTTCAGCAAACTACAGCCTACAGGCCAAATCTGGTCCATAAAAAAATTTTTATTGGAATAGAGCTATGCCTGTCTGTTTACATGTTTTTGTGTGGCTGTCATGGTATAACAGCAGAGTTAAGTAGTTGTGACAGAGACCTTAAGGCCTACAAAGCCTAAAATATTTAATATTTGGCCCTTCATGGAAAAAGTTTGTCTGCTCTTGTTCTAGTCTGTGCGTATAAAACGACCTGGATTATGAACGGCTTTGTGTGCCATGCAGAATAATCATGATTTATTCTTACAGGTATTGCAGAGTCATTAAAGAGTTTTAAATGGGAATGACATAGTCAGATTTGTATTTCTGAGCTCTCTTTGCAGCAATATAGAGGATGGTTTGGAAGGAGGAGACTCAAGATAGCGAGAACAGTTAGGAGTCTGATACTGCAGAGGAGTCTTAGATGGATAATTCTGGGGAAAGTAGACTCAGTAGCTAACATCTGCAGTGGAGCTTGGTGTGAAAAATACTCCACCTGACTGGAATGAGGTTGCACTTTATGATTTACCAAATCTGAATGCTTGACCAAAAATTTTTGTTTCCAGGCTCAGATTTTATAATCAGATTACAATTTGTAGATTAATAAAATAGTTTTGTTTCTTTCATTTGTATGTGATTTCAAATTAGGTGGCAGTATGAATCTCAGCAGATAGTTCCTGGGCAAAATTAAATGAGTTCGGTTTCTATTCTCCTGAAATACCACTTGTGAAAAATGAGATCATGTCAGAGAAATCACTTTAGAAATGATAAAGCTGTACAAATACAAGGTATTATTTTTTATTGCTACTGCAGTATAGGTTTACAGTTCACCTGTGCTTGGCCTCATCAATGGTTAGCAGGTACAAGAGGGTAGACTGCTCATCCCAAGGGACTCTTAGTTCTGGAGAGTAAAAAGCAAGGGCCAGAAAAGATACATAGGTGAGATGGGAGAAGAAAAGTCAGCCTATAGTAATGGCTCTTACATGCCAGGTACTTTTTATTCATCGTCTTGTTTAATTATCACAACAATCTTGTGATGTACGTTATGATATCCTTATTTTGTAGATGGGGAAATGTAGACTTCAGCAGGTTAGGTAACTTGTCCAAGAGGAAGGAGGTGACCTTTGGTCAGATGTTAACACTTCGCTCTTTCTGCCTTACCATACCAGACAAGTAGCTTTGGTTGCTCATGAACCACTGGCCACAACCCCAAGCTGATAAGAGGAGTGAGGGGAGTCATGAATAGCAGCAAGCATCCTAAAAGTGAGCCAGTAATTGTAGTCCATGAAGTGGTGCTCAAAGGGAGGTGGGGAAGCATCCCAGAGAACCCAGTCGCCTTCACTTCCAGCTGCAGGTTCAGGCCTTTCTGGTCTCATCAGTGATCACGAACTGCCCTGTGTCCTTGTCACAGAGTCTGCCTTCTATCGTGTAAGGTGATCTGTGGAGTGCAGATTTTGTAAAAAAGCCAAGTCAGTATAAATCCAAACTAAAGTACTGTCACAAGCCTACTGAAGTAGGAAAAAGAAGAAAAAACTTCAATGCTGGTGTTGCTGCAGGAAAGCTGGCAGTGCTGCAGCACTGGAGAAATCAGGGTATCAGAGCTGGCATAACTTCTCTGATTTCACCTGTATATTTTACCAACAGGGAAACTGAGGCAGAATGGTGCAGTAAGTTGTCTGGGGTCATACAGAGGTCAATGCCAGAGCCAAGAAAAGAGCCCAGATATTTTTTTTTTTACTCCTGCTATACCGTACTGCCTCCATGAATGAAAACTGGTTACGTTAGGGTGTGTTGAGGCATTATGATGTAGAATTGCTGCTCTAGTCTTTGAAGCAGTTTGGTTGGTCAAGGAGTGGGTTTTCCACCCAACTCTGCCGTCCCCAGTTCCCATCTCTAGCCCAGGCTGTAGAATTCTTCTTTTTTTTTAATTGTGTTTTAAGTGAAAGTTTACAGCTCAAGTTAGTTTATCATACAAAAATTTATACACACATTGTTATGTGACCCTTGTTGGTAACCCTGTAATGTGACAGCACACTTCTCCTTTCCACCCCAGATTTCCCGTGTCCATTCAACTAGCTCCTGTCCCTTTCTGCCTTCTCATCCCACCTCCAGACAGGAGCTGCCCATTTAGTCTCCTGTATCTACTTGAGCTAAGAAGCATACTCTTTACAAGTATCATTTTATGTCTTATAGTCCAGTCTAATCTTTGAAGAGTTGGCTTTGGGAATGGTTTTAGTTTTGGCTAACAGAGTCTGGGGGCCATGTTTTCCAGGGTCCCTCCAGTCTTAGACCATTAAGTCTGGTCTTTTTACCAGAAATTTGAGTTCTGCACCCCACCAGGCTGTAGAATTCTAAAGCTCTAAGGAACACAACAATCTCCCAGTGTAGAGGAAAGGAATTAGACTCAAGTTAGACCAGGGTTCACATCTTGGCCTGCCATTTACTGAGTAACCTTGGACTCAGTTTTCTTCTCAGGCTCCCAGTTTTTTCATCTGTAAAATGAGGATGATAAATCCATTATATGGTTGGCGTGCAAATGCTTTTAAAACTATAAAACATTAAAATGTCAGGTGTTATACTTTTACTATTAATTATTCAGTGAAGAAACAAACCCAGAGAAGTGAAGTGGCATACCCACCTCACAGCTGGTAAGTGGTGGCAAGACTTGAACCCAGGGCTGTTAACCTAGCCCAGCTTCACTCAAGAGGAACTTCTGAAAGGAGACTCAGGGAGCCTCATTAGGAGAGGCAAGCAGGATTGAGTTTGGCAGTTTGGGTTTGCTTTTGGGCTGGTGTGTCCATTAGTCTTGTACACAATTGAACTATGAAGCACGTCCCTCATGTGTGTTATTGTTGGCCCTATAGACCTGTCTAATTTTTGACTGAAGGGTGAACCTTAGGAGTACCGAGTTAAAAGGATGTCCGGGAGCTATACTCTTGGGGTTTCTCCAGTCTCTGTCAGACCAGCTAGCCTGGTGGGGGGAAGAAAAAATGCCTGAGAAAATACCTGAAACAGAGCCCTCTAAAGGCTCTGTGTGTTTGGGGTCCATTTATATTCCCCATTGTGCAGCCTTTAGGCAGATTATGAAGAAAGCACAATATGGCAGAGAATGGGCACAATAGAAAGAAGCGTGTTTTTGTGCCCGTCTTTTGTCCCCTCACTAGCTGCGTGACTCTGGTGTGTCAGGTCACCTCTCTGGCTTTAACTTCCCTGCCAGTAAAGTGGGGATAAAAATCCTGCCCACAGAAAGATTAGTCCAAAGGACTAATGGACCACAACTACCACAACCTCTACCAGACTGAGCCCAAAACAACTAGATGGTGCCTGGTTACCACCACCAACTGCTCTGGCAGGGATCACAATAGAAGGTCCCAGAGAGCTGGAGAAAAATGTAGAACAAAATTCAAATTCACGGAAAAAAAAAAAAAAAAAGAAACCAGGCTAGCTGGTCTGACAGAGACTGGAGAAACCCCAAAGTATAGCTCCCGGACATCCTTTTAACTTGGTACTGAAGTCACTCCTAAGGTTTACCCTTCGGCCAAAAATTAGACAGGTCTATAGGGCCAACAATGACACACATGAGGGAGGTGCTTCATAGTTCAATTGTGTACAAGTCTAATGGACACACCAGCCCAAAAGCAAAAATGAGAAGGCAGGAAGGGACAGGAAAACTGGACAAATGGAAACAGGGAACCTGGGGTGGAGAAGGGGAGAGTGTTGACACATCATGGGGTTGGCAACCAATGTCACAAAATAATTTATGTATTAACTGCATGAGAAACTAATTTGCTCTGTAAACCGTCACCTAAATCACAATTAAAAAAAAAAATCCTGCCCACATACCAACATCAGATAGTTTTGACATTCCAATAGGCATGGATGTGCTTTACAACTGATGAAGCCAGTTCATGGGAGCAGGACTGGCAAGTGGCACAGGGTCAAAGCTGGCGGGTGCCATGGCCCAGTTTCTCCAAGCCTTTATTCATGAGTGGCCCACCTATAACTGCCCCAGGTCCTCTTCCCACTTCCATATGATGCCACCACCTGCTTGTGTAGCCTGCCACTCATTCACACCTGACAACCCCAGCCCCTCTGTGCATAGATATTAGGCTCAAACTGTAACACATACGCATGTGTCCACACAAAAGGACTTCCCAGTGGGCATCCCACCACGCTCTGGTGTGCCTCTAGTGGCTTTCCGTTTGGTCAGCTAGGACCTGGGATGGCCAGAGAACCTCTGCCAGTTGCAGGGTACTCTGAGCAGCCTCACCTACGTACCCCCATGTACCATATAAATACAATTTTCCATGTTCTGTGACTTGAAAAAAGGTTGGGAAGCACTGCCACATACACATAGAACTCACAATACACACCTGAGTAAATACACATACCTTGGGCAAGTTCCTTCATTTGTAAAATGGAAATAATAAAAGCTGTCCTTGTAGGATAAATATGAAGATTAAATAATTCTGTCAAGTACTTGGCACTTAGTATGTGCTCAGATAGTGGCTGCTATTAATAATACATGACATCAGGGGTCCTTATCCATGGATGGCCTTGGTGGAAGGCATATCCCCTGAAATTATATGTACAATTATGTGTATATATACCTGGACCCTGGGGAGAGAGCCATAGCTTAATTCAGATTCTTAGAGAAGTCAACAGAATACACTCATTCAATTCATACATCTACATTCACCTGCTTACAAATAAATACATACATGCACAAACACATGTGCATATGTGCATACGAGGTATGTACTCAAAGGCCACTTTCCCTCTGTCTCCATAACAGTTCATTTCCATGACTCACCCAATGCTGGATCAGGATAGTAAGGCAGGCCTGGTCTTGGGCCCTCCCAGGTCGTAGTCCCAGTACCCTAAAGCGAGGGTGGCTCTGTGTGACAGCTGGGCTCTCCCTCTCCCACTTCTCCCTCTCCTCCCCTGGAAGTTCCCCTTGGTGGACCCTGATACCCACTAGCAAGGCCACCATTACCTTCAGAGTCTGAGGCCTACATGGCCTGTCCCGTTATCTCCTGGTATTTCCTTGTCACCTCCTTGGCTTTCAGGGTAAGGTGTGTGAGGATGTGATGGAGGCTGGAGAAGTGTAGGTGGAACTGGTCTTCCAGATACAGCTCACTGGAGACCCTCTCTTCCTTGGCCTCCTCTGTCTCAGCAGCATCATTCTCAGCCTCATCTTCACTGCCTGACACCTTGGCCTGCCACTCCTCCCGGGGCAGCAGCCCGTGGTCCATGTCCACTTGGATGGCCTTGAGCATGGTGAAGTATTTGTAGAGATCAGGGGCACCATCCTGGATCTGGCCCCCATGCCCACTGAGCTGCACATCCCGCAGAAGGCTGGGGATCATCACCACCTGCTCCATGTTGCGCACAGTGGCTGAGTACCTGTCCATGACAGTCAGTAGGCAGTTCTTGGGGTAGCGCTTGGTTAGCACCTGCATGGTTGCTTCCTCTGAAATGCTGAGTCTGGCAGCCTTCCCCAGCACTATTTCTAGGCTCTGAATTCAACAGTTTGAAGGGATGCCAAGGCCCAGTGGTGGGTAAACACAGCCCTGGTTTAGGCCAATCCCAGGGCTTGGGCCCCAATCTCTGTGTCAGGCGATCTGTCTGCCCAGGGACAGACTTGCCAGCCTTCTGCTTGTCAAGTCAGCACTGCAGGGCTACCTCAGCAAGAGCCTGGCTCCTCTTTCAACAGCTTGCAGGGCCAATTAGAAGGAAGCTTTTTCCTTTGGCAACTTGTACATTTGACCCCAGGGCAGTAAATAATTCTCTCAGGTCACCTGTGACCATGCTGCCTCTTTGCTGCCTGCTTAGGATAGCTTCCTAATGCACAGCTCCCTTCTTCCACCTGGAGCCCCAAAGCTGTGAAATGAATCAGGGAGGAGGGTTGTGAAATGAAACAGCTCTGTGTGGGGCAAAGATCACTGATATTAGGAGCCTGAAGGCAATGGAATAGCTGTTGCTTTTGTTTGTTTTCATGGCTAACATTTATTGAGCACCTACCTCTTGTCAGGTTCTGTGTCAAGCTCTTTCAGGAGCTATGTCATTTAATCTTCACCACAATCCTATGATGAACATACTCTTAATATTCCTGTTTTACCAAAGAGGAAACTGAGGCACAGGCAGCTAAAGTAACTTGCCCAAGGTCACATTGGAGTTGGGATTCCAGCCCAGAACCACCTCTCTCCTGTGCTGCTGCAGGTTGTGGAGTGGAACAGAGAGCACTGGAAAAGCTCTCCCTCGCTGGTCGTGTGTCCATAGGCTAGTAAAGTCTCTCTGAGCCGCAGCTTCCTCATAATAATGATAGGAGTTAGCATTGATTGAGGGCTTGTTTTTCTAAACTGAGTTAATATATGCAGAGTGCTTAGAACAAAATTCATTTAATCCTCCCTACATTCATATGTGGTAGGTATTATTATCCCTCATTTACAGATGAGGAAATTGAGGCCAAGGGAGGTAAAGTAATATACACTATTATTCAATAAAAGGGAGGTAAAGAACACACACTACTAGTTCTTAGTCAAGGAGGAGTCAGGATGTGTAAGAATAATTCCTCCCCACAGGTAGTTTTGAGGGCTGGAGATGATGTTTGTGAACTATTTGATATACTGCAGGACCTCTGTAAATATGCACTGGCTCCCAGCCCCTTCCCCTTTCCCACTCTATGCTCCCCACCTCCTCATTTACCCCTCCATTCTAGGACTCCCCATACTGTGTTTCAGTTTGTTTGGTACCTGACCCAGGGCCCAGCACTACAAATGCTCAGTAAATATTGGTTGACTCACACTCGATAGCACTTAACAACAACAAGACCATTAGATTCATTTCTTGGCATATTCTATCGTCTTTGGTTATAATATACGGTCTCTTGAAAAATGGGATCCTTGGCTTGGTGGGAGGAAGGGCAAGGCCTCTGGAGTGGCGAGGGGACTGAGGCGGCTGCAGCCTCATGTGACCGCCCAAGAGCTGTGTACAATGGCAGGTGCCCAAAACCACCTCATGGTCCTGAGCATAAGGTGAGGTTCTTTTCTGAAATTACTGCTTGGGAAAGCTAGGGTTGTATCCTGTCCAAGTCCTGACAGTCGTCCTTGGACAAGGTACCTTCCCCACTACTTTACTGCAAATAGAACGGTTAGCAAGACACAGTAGCCCAATATTACCTCAGCCAGCCAGCAAAGTGAAGAATTTGCATAAAATTGTTTCCTAAGAGTGGAAAAGAAAAAAATTTTTCTAAATGAATATGTTAAAGAATTGATGACTTTAAATATTTAACAAATTAATACAAGTAAAATCTGATTAATTAATTTCCAGTCCTGAAAGACGTTACGTTTGTTTGTTTTTTAACCTTTTCTGGGGAAAAAAGTTCTTAAAATGTTTTCTCCTCAATGAAGAGAACAGGATACAAGGAAAAGATTAGTCTAAAGGACTAATGGACCACGGCTACCAAGGCCTCCACTAGGCTGAGTCCAGTACAGCTAGATGGTGCCCGGCTACCACCACTGACTGCTCTGACCAGGATCACAACAGGGGGTTCTGGGCAGATCTGGAGAAAAATGTAGAACAAAATTCTAACACACAAAAAAAGACTAGACTTACTGGCCTGACAGAGACTGGAGAAACCCCAAGAGTATGGCCCCGGACACCCTTTTAGCTTGAGGTTCACCATTCAGCTGGGGATTGGACAGCCCCATAAAACAAAATGGGACTAATGAGGCACAGCAGTCCAGGGACAAGGACTAGAAGGCAGGAGGGGATAGGAAAGCTGGTGATAGGGAACCCAAGGTTGAGAAAGGACAGTGTTGACATGTCGTGGTATTGTTAACCATTGTTATAGGGCAACATGTGTACTGTTGAACGAGAAACTATTCTGTTCTGCAAACCTTCATCTAAAGTACAAAAAAAAAAAAAAAAAATTATGTGAGATTAAATTGAC